TATATTTGGTTAAGTATATTATAAATATTCCTGGTACAATAGCTCCAATAATGATTATTAGTATTATCAGATAAGGAATCCATTATTAATGAAGTGATGTATCAAATTAATAAGCCAAATCACCCTGTATCCATTTTATGCCTGATAATGTTCTAAATGATAATGAAGATATCAATAATTATATCACCTATATTTAGTAATAACAAAACAAATATAAGACACAACTTTTTGGTACTACTTCATTATAAACGATCTTATTTAGAACTCTCAAAAAGAAGTATATAGATAAGTAGATCCATCCATAAAACAGTGGACAAATTATACTATATATTATTTTCACATATATGAGTCCTTCTTAAAAATTCTAAGCCAAAAAGCAATCTGTTGTAACTAATAAAATAGTTTGAGAATTTCCAGTAATATTATAATAATCTTTAAATGCTTATGGAATTTCAACATTAAAATTTATTATGATAGCCAATATTTATAAATAATTTGTAAGCATTTTCATAAGTGGACCTGTTTGTTTATTATTGTTAATTATTAATTATCTTGTTCCTACTTTGTTTTTCTATAATTCTTATATGAGTTTTTCAACTCCACTTGTTGATAAATAGATTGAAAGTAAATTCCTAAAATATTAAATATAAAATACCATAAGGTTATCAATATGATATAAATAATTTGTTTATCCAAATCTTCACACTTTTAACATTAATATAATTTCTTAAGACTATATTAACCATATCCTCTTATATTGTATTAATCACAAGCTTCACAACAAGCACCTAATTAGCCAATTTCACAAGTCTCATCTCCTTATCTCCATCCACCTAAACAGTTCTCAATCCTATTTTAGCAATATTCAATAATTTCACTATTTATATATGGTCTCCAATATCCAGATTTTAATTAAAGTTAAGCAGGTGTTATTGATGCTATTGTATCTTCATCCATAAATTAACAAGTTGTTGCATTGATAGTTACTGAATATTATTTCTTGTTAATGTCGCATAAATGACAAGCATTATCTGTTAGATTCTTATATTCTCCATATTGACATGGGTAAGTATGAATGTATAAAATTAACTAATATTTAGAGTTGTAATCCATAATCTAATAAGGAAAAATGTCTTCATAAATTGGGATTTAAACACTATTACAACTTACTTATAAGATTAGATTAGATTAATCATTTTCAGTCCCATAATAAATAATTAAATCATCTAAATTATAATCTTATGTCTCTTAATCAAAATCTTTTCTATTATAATTTGTATAATTATTTGTAAAAACGATTTCTTAGGAGCCATACTGGTACCCACTTTCAATTAAACATTCACTATTACTAAGATGAAATTGTTATTCATTATATGCATTTAAAGCTAAAACTCTCAATTTTAAATGTAAATGCTAGTATTCTTATTTATGTATATCAAAATATTAATAATTTTTAATTTATTAACCACTCGGTAATTTTAAGAACTATAATTCTGAGGAATTGGATTAATTAGTTAAGTAAGCATTAATCTGCCCATTTCTCAAAGAATTTAAAGTTGAAAATTACAAATTTTTGTACATTACTGTAAGTTAAGTTGAGTGAGATGAACTAATCTTACCATATATATATGCAGTGTTATTATTGAAATAGTTAAATGTTCTATTTAATTCAGGTAAACTTTGATTCCCTAGATATATTGCACCTCCTTCTTACGCTGTATTTGACATTATAAGATTATTCTGAAACAAAAGATTTGTAATTTCTCCATCATAATAAATACTTCCTCCTTATCGAATTGCTAGATTTTCACTTAAAATACTATTTGTTATTTTAAGACCAACTTATTTGCTAACTATGCATCCTCCTTTCTCTGCCTAATTTCTATAGCAAAACATATTGTCTAGTGATAACTTAGACATTATCTTTTATTCTTAACTTTGGAACTCTTACACGAAGCATAAGCATCCATTTTGACCACATTAATTATCCATTAACCATATATTTGATAAAATAATATTTTCTGATTGCAACTCAATTAATTTAATAAAAAGAAGTCCTGATTAACATAATATGCACTAATTATTTGAAAATTAGCTTGATTTAATTGATATTGAATCCTTATGTTTTACATTTGTTATTTAAAGTAAACTTTCAATCTATTTTTAAGGTACAGCTAAATGATCCTATAAATTTATTAATTCATAAATAGAATTTTTCAATATTAATATTTATTCAATTTGACAGTCTTATGACAGTTTTAATTAATCATCAATAACTTACTTTATTTAGATAGCTTACAGTTTTGGATCATCTTTGTACCATTTAACGTTTTTGATTTTGAGATCAGTAATGTCGATTTTGCATTTTTAATCTATTGAATATAATATTATAATAATACCTTCAGAAAAGCTAATTTACATTATGGAATTCTAGTAATAAAATGAATAGTCTATTTCGATTGATGTCAAACTAACTTTGCTTTGATAATTCAACTATAAGAATATATTTAAATATAACTGAACGAATAAATGTCTTAAAACAAGATATCCTTATTACATTGAAATCAAAGTAGTTTCATAATTTTAAAATAAACTAAACAAAGACCTAAATTTGGAATAACCCTCTATTGTTTATAAAATTCTGCAATTCTACATATAGAGTTATTAATTGTAGTTTAGGAAGTTAAGTTTGGCAATATTACCATCGTTTGAAAAGACATCCTAAAATGTCACATTAGTGAAATTGAAGTTAATTTATTAGGCAATTGGTTTCAGATATATAACACCACCTTCAGCAGTTCCAATAATTGTATCATAAATAGAATCTAATATATCAATTTAGATATTAATGCTTCCATCAATAACATACAGGCAACCACCAAATGATTATTCTTCAGATATTTTAGTGTAGATATTTTTAAATACAGAATTTCTGACGAGTAAATATCCTTCATTTTCTAATGTAATTTTAAAACATCCTGCAGATGTTGAAAAACTACCTTCAATATTTGTGTTTCTAAATTACACTGAGGAAGATATTAGTTAACCATTTCCACTTGTGTGATAGCACTTAAAATTAATTTTTGATTTATTCTAATGTTAAAGTATAAGGTTGATATTTCCAATTTATGTGCTTCAAAAAGCTATCACCAATCTAATTATTTGAAGCAAAAGATGAATCAATTAGATTAACTTATTCAGCATTTATATATAATAAACTATTTTCACTTTAAGAGACATAATTTTGGTTAAACTAGCAATTGATCAACTATATTTTCGAATTTTATGCAATTATATAGAATATTAAAGCTGAGTCAGACTCAGATTCTTTATAGTATGAATAGTAAATGTTATTATTAAATTTAGAATTTAGAATTTAGATATCTTATTATTATTCTGATTATATAAGAATTCCAGATATCTAATTAATAGTCTAACTCTTTTAGATGATGCAATTATCTAAATTCATGGAATCTATAACAATAGATTCAGATCTTCTAATAATTTAGGTTGCAATAGAGATTATGTAGATCATAGGGAAATCCAAAAGAATAAGATTAGATACATAAAAGTTTTATATTTTAATATTTTATGCCTTTTAAATGATCAAAGTAGATGTATATTTCGAATATGGATTAAGTTATGAACATTATTCATCTGCAATAATGCTTTTAAAGAAGTACTTTGAGTTTAATGAAATAGTAAAATTTGAAAGTACTAAGTTAATGGCTGAAGATAGTAAAAATTCTGTAATACCAATTGATCTGATGATTTTAATATCAGATATTTCAATTATGTTGGATTATATTAGAATAATAGAGGAAATTGACTATAAATTGGAAACCAATTAAATATTATCATAAAGAGTGATTGTATCTAAAATAATATTTGACATCTTAACAGTACTAGTCAAATCATTTGATACTAAATTTATAAGAATTGTTTTATCGTCGTGTTAAATCTAATTAACTTCAATATTCTCAAAAATGATAGATTGAAACTAGTAATCTTAAACAAAATTAATAATTGAGCTATTCTTTAAACTACAAAACTTAATTTAATAGTCCTTATTAATTTATTCATTTGTTGTTTAAAATAGAATGAAATTTTAGAATGTTGAATTTGTTAAAGAGATTCTGCTTATAATTAAACTTTTATAACAAAAAGTCTAGAATAAAGGCTGAATATTAGATAACAAGGAGAAAACGATCGATATTTATGATATAGATCCTTACATAACTAGATATTAGTTATTTTTAATTTTCATAAATGAGCTAGAATAAAGATTGGAATTTATCATTAGAATGTTATTAATATAACAATTTGTAGTTTTTTAAAAGTAATTATCAAGTAAAATGATATTTGAATTATGCATCTTTGAATTTTGAATAGTAAATTGATCAATATTAATGTTAATATATTGCTAGTTAACTGTATATTCGAAGTAAAATAAACTAGCGACAGATTATAGATTTATATTCTGTAGAGATAAGTTTTAAATCTATAATTCCTAGAGATTTGTGGATAAAATATTAAATGTTATTGGATTTAAATCTTCTTAATATTATTGTATAACTACTGAATTAAATAGTACTTTCAAAGCACTTAAAGATTATAAATGAATATTCACAGTTGATTACAACTAAATTATTAGATTTTGTATTGAAATAGATTCGAAATTCAGTATTTCTAGATTTGAGTTAAGGAATAATGTGTATCCATTACCAATTAGAGTAATTTTTGCTGATGTGACAAAATAGATGTTTTAAATTAAAGTAGTGAAAATGTAGGAGTGAAAATCTATTGAGCAATCTTAAATGAAACTAAATTATAACTCAACTTCTTAAATTTGTTATATATTTAGATATGTATACAAATTTAGATTTTCGATTCTTCCAAAATTGCTTTAAGATTTATTATTGGTTAATAGTTCATCAATTTTAACATTTTACTGTAGAAAATGCTATTTGTCTAAGGCCAATTCATGATGTTAATTAAATAGCTCTGTGTTACAATAAAGGTTGAAATTCAATATAATTGAATTAGGATCTGTTCCAGTTTCACTCAATTTAAAGAATTATTAAAATTTAGTGTCATAATAATAGTCTTAAAAGCTTAACTAAGATTATAACATTAAACAAGCATGCGTAGAAGATTAGACATTAGAATTTGAGAAATATGGATTAGCACTTAATAATTAAGAATTAGTTTTAGGTTTACAAATCTGACAATACCTTGGACAATCAATGCAATCCCCATCATATAAGGACAGACGTCGACCTTCGTACATTTTGCATTTAACACATTTATTTTATCCATTACTTTTTATACAGAGTGCGCAATTCTCTGGGCATTTCTTGATACATTTATCTTAGTAAAATTCAAAATCTACTGTACAAGTCTTACAAATAACTTCTAATTTATCTTATGTTTCATTTCCAAAAATATCATCATAGAAGGTTCCTCTTTTCATCATGAAATGAATAATACCATACCAAATTTTCCAACCATTCTTCCATTACTTTGATCGTTATTAACATTTATAACAATGCATCTCTGATGGACACGCAATACACTAACCAGATGCTAATTCAGCATAATATCCAGGATAGCATTACAAACATATATTATTGAAACAGTAAGCACAATTTAACAAAATAAAATCACAACCATTTGAAGCTGAAAAGGTTTGTTAAAATTCGTTTGTATAAACAAGACATTAGTATTATAACAAATTTAATTACAATGATTGAAAAACCTCCATTTCATACATTTGTATACAATATTCCTTATTTTGTATATTATCAGGAATTGAATCTATTTTAACACATGATCCTGAGAGTAATGAAGCATATCCTTCAGCACACAAAGCACAATAATTCAGAAGTTAATTAGAGTTATAATCTCCTTTTTCATACATATGAAATATAGTATTTACTTTATTTCTCATAAACCACGATTTATGAAATTAGATTTCAGATTTGCAATGAACATCTAAATTTTCAAGACAATCAACTGCATTAATTGATAAATAATATTTTTAATTATCTATGCAATTAATGCATCTATTATAATACGATCCATCTTTAGGATTTTAAACATACAAGCATTCTAAACAATATTTACTACAAGGGTAGCATTATCCTTAAAACACTGAGTATTTTCCTATGCATTATTTGCATTGAACTCCAGAATTATATTCACATTCTAAACATTCCTTTGGACATTCAAGGCATACATTATTATTAGGATTCAAAATCATTTAATTATAACAAGATGTGCAAATTGAATAATCTTCACATGTCTTACAATTTGAATTACAAACAACACATTCTCCATTTTTATAATAGAATTGAGATTGACATTAAATATATACCTTTAATAAGGTATGAAAATGACAATTTGAATCAATATTTTAGTTACATAACGTTTTGCATCCAACACACAAGGTAAGAGAAGATGTTGACGTATCAAGAACATATAATTCAATATCTTTATCTTCTCGCTAGACTAATTCATATTGACCATAACTATTAAAAACATAATCAGATTCGCATTTCAATTTTGTAGCAAAGGTTTCTGGTTAAGTCAAACATTCTATGCAACTTATCTTTTCCAATTAAATTTCATTAAATTAAGGACATAGTATATAAATGACTTCATTATCGACTTCTTTAATTGGAAAATAACCAAATTAAGATAGAGTTTAATTCTTTGCATTATAATCTTATATTGAAGTGGGATAGAAATCCAAGAATTCTAATTTAAGATATTGATATTACATATACAATTTCCACTATTACTTTCAATATAACCTAGAGTACATTTACAATAGCTATTTTCTAGATATCTATTAGAGTTCTAATCACAACTTATGCACTAATTAAAATATGGACCATTACAATCTAAACAACTGAAATGACACTCTATTATAAATGTAAAATAACCATACTTTTCAAGAGAACAAAAGACTCAGGTAAACAAACAGTTATTTTACTGCTCTCTGATTTTACATACAATCCATCAGAGGCGCCAATAAAAAGAAATCCACTTCTAATTCTTAGGTTGGCTCCATTGAAATGATAAGTTCTATTATGATATTGAGCCTCATAGATATCCCCATCATTGAACCACATTTTCAAATTTGAAACAGGCACTTCTGCTTTATCAAAACCGTACATAATAGAAACATAATGCCATTATCTTAAATCTTATGTTAAAGTATGGAAAGCAACATCAGCTTAACCCAAAAATTAAGCAGTATTTTCAGAAAAATCTGGATCTTTTTAATTATAAGTTTAGAAATACACTCCATTAGCTAAATTATCTAGCCATGCTTAAAGAAGACAGTATTATAAATCGACTAATTTTTAATAGACGTTAACATAAGGCAGAAATAGTATTTCAACTCCAAAAACGCTAGCTGAATAATTTAAATTCTAAGATATAAAATAATGTTACTAAATTATAATCAACCTTAATCCAAGATTCAAGCTAAATCAATCCAAATTAATATATGTAACTTGATATTAATGTCTAATCATAAGTTGAAGTTTAACAAAATGGTTATGGGATAAATTATTATTCAACAAATACTTTAAATTCTGGAGCTGTGTTAAAAATTACATTATTTTTATTTAAGTTAAACAATAGTTTCGTAATTCTGCCAGGATAATAAGCATATTGTTTTACTTCATCATTTTAATTTAATTATAATTTTAATTCTCCTCCTTGAGTAATTATTGTCTCCTTTAATTCTAAATTAGCACTTGATTTATAGTTTATGAGTTAGCAATTATCATTCCAAATATCATAGAGAATTATTTATCTTTAATAAGGAAATTAATATGAAACATAAATATGAATCCACTTGCCATCAAAATCGAATGCGTCAAATACGAATTTTGCTAATTAGATCATTTAACCATCTGATTCATATTATAAATATAAATATTTTTCCTAATTAGCATTGTTGTTTGTCCAATCTTAATAAAAAAATACCCTATATTTAAAATTATCAGGATTTATCTCCCCTAATATTAAAAGCCCTTCAATTTTAGGGAATGTAGTTTTGCTCTTATGTAATGTAGTCTGTGTAGATAAATATTAGAACCAAAAGCCATATCCATAAGCAGAATAATCTAATAGTGACATCTTGGTTGTCTCAGTAGTGTCATCAAGAAGACATCCTTGCAATGTATTTGAATCACACTGGATTGTAGGTCTAATAAATCCAATTAATATGATGCTGGCTGTCCAAATATAAAAATTAATCATAATATTAAAATGAAAAATTATTAAAATATATCCTATTTAATTTGGACATTTCAATTTATAAATCAAAATCTTAAAGTCTAATTCTTTTCTTCTGAGCTTTAATATTCTTTTTTAATTAATAATTATGTTTTGCTTTGCTGTTTTAAAAAAGCCCTTAGTAATTCAAATCGCTTTTTTCTTAATTTTATGGAACTTTTTGAATGAGATTAGAATATGTTATGCTTAATAAATAGCTGATGAAATTTTCCTAATAATTCAAATACTTTGCAGAATACCCTTTTTATGTATTAGGAAGTTAATTTCCATAAATGTAGAAACATGAATAATCCACCAAAAATAAATAGAGAATTTATGAAGATCAAAATTACAGTTTTCAATATGGAACCTTAATTTTCCTATATTGAAAATAGTGTACAAGATATTAAAATTATGATGCTGATGATATTTAGTTAGGTTTCAAATCTATTCATCTATTTATGATAATAGATTTTATTGTCTTAACAGACTTTAGTATAAATGATTAATAAGGAATAAGATAACACTCCTTTTATTGTAGCATTTGCATCAATCATTATGATTATGCATATCAATCCATTAACCAATAAAAATTTATAAAATTCCCAATGTTAATGATCGTTTGAGTAAGATGTAAACCAGAATCCAAAGTCTTTAAAGGGGATTCGCTTTGATAAAAATAAGGATGACTTTAACTTTTGTAGTAATAAATAAGGTAAAACTATCCCCAGGCCTATTACCAATAGGTAAAAATTAATTAAATACTAATCTCAGATGATTTGTATTTGTGTAATCATATGAAACGTTTTTGTGAATCCAATACACATTCTAAATATCTCTAAAAGCTATAAGTTGAATCATAGATCGTAGAAAACTTCCAACAACGAAAACATATATTAAATAGATGAAATTAAACAATTCCATCTATGTGATTTTAAATTATGAGATGAAAATCTTAGCAAAGCAAAAACAGACAAATGTAGTCATCAATATCAACATGCAAATAAAATTTTATAAGATCTATAAATACAGCACACTAACTTCTAAGTTTATTAATTAACATTCTTTATATATTCCTAATAATGTAAATGGATCTCCTAAAAAGTGAATAAATTATTAGACTTAATCAGAAAATACAGAAGATAACTCTTATGTATAACTGATAATTTGAAAATAGAACAATATAATCTTAATACTCTAACCCATAAGGGCTTCTTCTGACTTAAAAAAACCTTATCGAAAAGGTATTTTAAACTGGTTAACATTCAAACGAATAAATTAAAGTCTTTTTTTAGACAAATAATTAATTATTAGAAGTAGGCATACAAATCTTATATTAATAACATTTTTACATTAAAATCGTAATCAAGAAATTAAATAGCTATTTTAGGCTATCATTTTAGCAGATTTAACACATAAAAAATCCCTCTCTTTAGTAATTTCCTCCTCCTCTCACATTAAAATAATCACACTATTCACAAAGAGCTCCTATATAGCCCTATTAGCATAAATCATTTCCAATTCCCCATCCTCCAATACAATTTTGCTGATTATTTAAACACAAGTCTATAGTAGAAGTAGTCACTTTCATTCTCCAATAACCCTAATATAATAAGAAGATTAGAACACCTTTTTTAAGAATATTTAAGCTTAGGTTATTTCCTAAATCTTTTGATCGTCTACAATTTGGCAACTAGTAGCCCCTACAATTACAGAGTATTATTTTTAATCTACTCTGCATTAGTGGCAATAATCCTCTTTGGTTTAACTGTACTCTCCCACTTAACAGTCATTAGGCTTAATCAATAAACTCAAAATATAGTTTTAATGAAATCTAATTTAAAAATATAATTATACCCTTCTATTAAATGACTTATATTGTTTATTATTGGAATATAAATACTATTACATTTAATAGAAAGCTCAAAGGTTTAATTTGAATCTGAAGGAATGTAAAAGATTAAATCATCTAAATTATAGGAAAATGTTGATTAATTAAAGTAAATTTTATTTTTATTTAAAGATAAATTTTGTTCTTATCGGCTGTTCACATTATTTATTTGTAATTCACAATAAGTATTCGTGAGATTTCTAACTATTTCTAATTATGAATTAACTGCATATAATTTCATTTACATAGTTTTTTAATTGTATCTATTATTCTCTAATTCAAATTTCCTATATTCTGATAATGGAATTCCAGTAGGTATATGAATAATTGATTTTTATCTATCTTTGCCAATTATTTAAGATGTCTGGCCAACTTTAGAATTTTATACAATTGTTGGTTTAATTATTTAGTCTTAAAAGATTTATATATAAAGTTATTAAGGTTGCTCGTCAATTTGATTCAATCCATAGTTGTCAATCAACTCGATTCCTTTAACATTTCTTATCAAGTTTTCTTCACTATAGATTCCACTTCCAAATTAAGCTGAATTATTTGTAATAACTAAATTCTCTGAAATTAATGTTGCATTAATCCCTTTTGTAAAAATAGCTCCTCCATATACTGCCTTATTGCCAACTATCAAGCTTCTTATAATTGAAATGATTTGATTTTAGATAAACAAACAACCTCCGTATTAAGCTTAGTTGTTGATGCATTACAAATTCTCTATTCTGATAGCAGAATTAGCTATAGAGCTATTATAATCTTAACTTTAAAGAATACGGCTATCTTATGAAATGAAAGAAATACAACCATTTTTCCCACAATACGAATTAGATATAGAGATTTTTTAAATAATTATGGATGGTTTCTTTCTATTCTCAAAATTCAATAGACCATTTGAGCACTTGCTGCATTTGTTGTTTTAGAGAATAATATCAGAAAGTTATATTTTTTGTTATTGATATTAATCTGTAAATTAAAATGATATCATAGTTACTGTTGATGATTATATCTAAGAGAAAAAAGTTTCTAAAAGTGTTATTTGATTAATATTAGAGAAACTCTCATTAAAACTTAAAATTGTTGAAGGAGCATCTATTAAATTTTGATTACAAGATGTTCTTATGCTACTATTTAAAATGTCTGCATTTCTTTTTGAAGGAATATTGTTTTCAGTTATCTGAATTTGAGTGGAATTGTAAAATTCTATATTATGAAGAATTATTTAATCAGACTATCTTACTGGAGAAAAGAGCATGATTAGATTAGAAAATATAATATTTTGTATTGAAATATTCTTGAGGATTGTACTTCCATATAATTAAAATAATGGGGTAGGTGGATAATTTATTACACATAAATCACTTATTTAAAATTAGCAATCATAACAATAGATAAATGAATAATCTTATGTCAAAGTTGTTAATTCATTATTTGATATATCTTGTAAAGAATTAATGAATGTATTAAATTTATCCAAATTTTAAGATAACTTACATTTTTCCATCTGAACAATTTGTAATTAATGGATAGATTTTTCTATGTATATTAAGCCTCCTTAAATTGAAAAAATATTTTCAAATGTAGAGTTGAGTAAAGAGATATTGAATAATTTTGTTGAAGGTATAATATAAATTATACTCCCGCTCTTTCTGGAGGAAATATCCATAAATATTGTATTCATTATCTCAATTCTTAAGTATGATGATTAAGATTAGATATGAAAGGCTCCTCCTTATGAAGATTCAAGTAATTCTGCTTGCAAATTTTCAAAGTGTGAATTTTTAATCTGTAAATTTCCATTTTCTATCATTTTCAATGAAAATGCAGCACCTTAGACTGAGATAGAGTCTTTTAATATAATCATGTTTAATATAATTTATCGGGCTTAAAAATTTCCATTTCCTCCACTGCTAGAACTAATATATAATTTCTACAATTCTTCTAAATAGATTTCTCCTGTCAAACCCCATCTGAGGAATTACTTTAAAGTATCATAGACAAATGCTGAATTCTGAAAAAACTTTGTATTGTTCAAAATAATTAAGTCAGCGTCAATATACATAAGAGATCCTTGACCATTCAAAATCATGTTCTTTTGGATTAAACAACTACTTATAGTACTTGTGGCTTAATATGCTTCCACTAATAAAATCAGGCTCTGTTTTTAAGGGCTACTTTCTTTTAATAAATTTAATAAATTCTAGGAGAATGTAACTTCTGTTATATTCAAATTCAAATAATAATTAGAATTAATTGATATTAAAGATACTTTTTCATATTTATTTACTTGATGCAAAATGTTTGAGGAAAAATTGCAGTTTATAAAAAAAAATTATGAGCTAATTTATGACAGCATTTGGATTTCAAATAAAACTGAATCATATAATATAATATCAGTGATATTTGTATTTGAAAAATAAATAAATGAGCTATTTTATAAATTCATAAGAGTATTGTACATGAATTAATTGAATGGTTGAAAATTGCATTCTTAATTATTAAATAGACTTGTAAAATAATATTTTTAGTGTAATGTTATTACAGAGTTCATAAATTTAAAAGTATTCGCATTTTTAATAGTGAATTCAGTATATCCTATTCCTCTTTGAATGATCAAAGTATCAAATATAACAGTATTAGATTCAATATTGATTATGGACAATTCAATGTTCTTAACAAGAGAATCTTTTTAATTATCAATATTAATAGCATTGTTGATAAATTCTATATTATTAAGATATACAGAATCTGAATTTAATAATAGGATTAAAGCATTTTTGTTTGAATAAATATTATCAATGATCTTACCATTTTTAATTTAAATTAATTCAAGAGATAAGTTTTCTTGATTAATTAGTAATGTGGATTATCCTAAAAATGAGAGTTTTTATAAATTGAATTCTATCAAAAACAGAATTTTAGAGCTTGATATAAAATTTGAATTTTATAAAGTTGAATCTAAAATTGAGAATCCATTTAATTCAGCTTTTTAAATTTACTCAAAATTTAAGAAACTTGTAATGTTTAATAGAATTGAATTTTCAAAAATAAAATTATCCATCCTTAAAATTTCGGTTTAGTAAAATTACTCAATTAGAGCAGTATTTATGAATTAGGAATTTTAAATATACAAATTTAATATTTTAGTTTCTACTTTTTAAGATGTGTTATAATTGATAATTGATGTATTCATAATTTTAACATGATTTATAATGAGATCTAGTGCTACTAATTTACAATTGCTTTTTTTATTAGTAATTAAAAATAAGCCATATTTAAATTGAACATTAATGTTATGTATCTATAATTTCGAAATATTAATTTTGGACGATTCACTAATTTAGATTAAATACTCTTATGAGAATATATCAGTTTAATCTTGATAGATTTTAATGGATTAAAAATCTACAGTATAACGATTGACATTATCCATTGATACATATCCAGTCTACATTCGAAGATCAAGGTTTTCAAATCTTATGTGTGTAAAATTTGAAAGGGATAAGTGATTATTCAAATTAAAGGTATTGCCGGATCCATTTAAAATTAAGTTTAATTCAATCAAGTTAAAAGTATTTGTTTATAAATTTGATTAGATCTTTAGCTCCTTATTCAAAGAACATGGTTAATTATCTGCAATCGTAAGTTAATAAGTAACTATCTTAACAAAATTTTGATTAAGATAGAGAAAATAGTCATAATACTCATATAATGATAAATCCAGATTTTCTAAAAGAATATGAAACTTTCTTTAAATTACCTTTTATTCTTCATTTAATTAATTGAGATAGTTTTCTAAATCAATTTTGCTACAATAAATTAGAATTTCAATTACAATTTCTTTTTAGCATTCATTACTATAATCACATTTGATAAATTAATGAATATCCTAATCGTAATATAAGTCATTAGATAATGATGCTATGCATTTATGAGAAAAGTATTCTAAATCTTTATTGTTGAAATATGGATTCATCATTAATTTTTCATTATCCGTTCTTGGATGACATATATTACAATTTTAAGGACATTAAATGCATCTTCCATTATAAACATGGTAGTGTGAATCGTTAAATTAAATGCAAGAAATACATATCTACTAATCATCAATGATTTTGCATTCCTTACAATCACTAGGACATTTTTAGATACATTTATCATAATATTTAATATAGCCATCTGAACAGTTAGTGCATATAATCTCAATTTCATTCTTATTAGGGTTTTATGTGAACAATTAGTACTCCGCATTTCCTTTAATAGACCACAAAATTATAAAAATAAATTCAATTGATGATTTCACAACTTAGGATGAATCAACTTAATTACAAGTAGCACATTCTGGATTGCATGGTTTGCAAAAACTTGTATAATAATCGTTATAATAACCATCTTCACATAAATAACATATACTATTATATTCCCAATTTAACCTGAAACAAACAAGACAATGTGGAATAAATTGAGTACAGAATCCAAATCCAAATACCATTAAATGATTGGTACCAATAATGCAATTTATGGTACTAGAATAAAGGATTGCCTAATAACATCCACTTTAAATTTAATCAGATCCTTAAGCACCACAATTAAACAAATTATTGTCTGTATTTAAGTAGGAGACAGGTGAACAGTAGATACAACCTGTTCGAATGTTTTGAGATTCTTAAGGTTGAAAATCATAAAATATAGTATTTATAGCACTAGAAACAATGGAAAATTGAAAAGGATATATACAAAGATCTATATTATTAAAGTAACAGCTTTCCCCATCAAGAGATATATATGCATTATAATTACATTTTAAACACTTCATATATTCTTTACCAGTATTTTTGTTTAATTTCATGTTACAAATTTAGCAATGTTCACCACATTTTTAACAACTATCATTAACTAAAGAGTATCCTTGCTAACAATCTAAACACTTTACTTACTCTAATTGTTTATCTAAAGTACATGATAAGCAACCTTAAGGACATTGTTAACAATGATTATTTTTTATATAAAACCCTTGATTACACTCTATACAAGTTTCTGTATCTTTGCACTTAATGCAATTCAATTCACATAAATCACATGTATTATACTTAGGATATAAATACTATTTGCATTGATAATATGTATTTAATCCGTTCACATTCTTAATAATGGATTACGAATTTTTTGTTTCTGTAATATATTCGCATCCAGGACACAATTCTGCAGCCATCAAATCAAAATTGATAATAAATATTTCTTTGGATTGATAGTCTAATTATTGGTTATAATAGAACTTAGAATCCTCAGTTCTGTAATCAATATTACAAATTGGGTTTAAATACCAATTGTGAGAATTGAGTATACAATTAATGCAATTTACTGAATTATGACCTTGGTCAAAATAAGGGCTTCAAATTAACATTATAAATACCATTTAATGCATCCAAAGAATTTCAAGCCCTTCCATGCTTCAAAGTAGCCATAACTGCACTTGTTATTGTTCTATACCTCAATTATATTGAACTCTTTATACAACTCCTTCTTCTAGGAAATAGAACTTAAAAAGGTTTCTAAATTATTAAAATACATTACTTTGGCATATTAAGCTACCTGTTTCTTCATAGTTAGATTTACACTAACATTAATGAAGATCAATTTATAAGTATCTATTTTATTCATCATAACATGATGCACAATCATATTAGGCAGGCCCTATGCAAGTTTTACAAAGTGCATTGCAATCTAACAAGATAAAATTATATATACTTATGTTAGAATCTTTTCCAAATTGATATTCTAAATTGTAACAGTATTTAAATCTTAAATTTGAAATCAAACCTTCAAAAGGAAGTATGGTTGCATCTTTCTATTCTGTGAATAGTGTTATTGTGGCCTAATAATTAGAATATTATTGGTAATAAGGAAAATTCAGCACATAAAATTACTCCCATGTATCACAGCAAGATTAATACAATGAAAGGTAGACATATTGATAGATTCCAACCTTCTAAAATTAATATTTTAAGTAGCTCCATTATTCGAAGCTTTATTTAGGCTTAAATAATTATATGAGATAGTCATCATTATACTAAGTTATTTATTCTCCAGGTACTAAATAATAAACATCTAAATTGTGAAGCAATATAACATCTTGACTTAATACTCTCCAATATACTGCTAATTAGTAAAATCGCTCTAAAGTTGAAAAAATACCACCAAAAGATAGTAAGATTTCTTTTTGTGTGTTTACTTTATAAGAATCTCTCTTAATCCAAAAATCAAACATATAGATCAACCCTTTCATATCCACTTGATAATTGCGAGCTGTATAATTTCGTTAATTATAGGTTTCATGAAAAAAATATAATTCAACAGGATTTTAACATGCTGGAGGAACAGAGCATGATGAAATAAATGAAATAAATTTTGCTTTATCTGTATTTGAGAAAAAAGTAATGGAACTTTCAAATGTAGTAATTATCGAAATCCTACCCATAAATATATTTAGATTGAAATAATTTATTCCTATGAAGTATAATCCCTAACCTCCATATTCTAATTTAGCATTTGTTGTTTATGTTTTCAATCTTCTATTTGTGACCAAAAAATTAAAAAAACGATCATCCCCTGTACTGTATGATGCAAAGTTGTATTTGTTATCGTAGTTAAACCCAAAATAAGTAAAAACCCAATATCCTTCATAATAATAGAGTCCCTCCTGAATCTTATAGGAAAACACTCCAGACTATGTATATTACAGAATCATTAGTGTTGGGTATCCTGTAACATAAAGTGGCTATTAATAGAACAATGTTTGAATGTTTCCATCACTTTGATAATTAAGGATATGAAACCCATCAAGACTATAGGCGCTGAATCAAAATAAGGTTTTGATTTGTCTGCAAAGAAATTTTTTCTAATTGGAGCAAATTGAGTCCATACACCAAATGCATATGGATTTCCTCTTACATAACTCTTTTCTTGATAAAAGCTGTCACTACTCAACTAGAATGAATCAAAATTGGTGTACGAACAAGTTGATTAGACTAATCTAAATATATAAAATATCCAAAACATCTATTTATATTAAATTTAGAAAGTATGGGTATCAAAGAATATTAATTAATATTAGTAATTTAAGGGATTGTTAAGATAATTCAAAAATGAGTCTAATATTAATCATAAAATGAATTTTAAATAAAGGAATCTAAAAATATTAATTAAAACAAATAAACTGCTTAATTAAATAATTATATATATTTATGATAAAAGTATTATTACTCAATCTCATTTGAAAAAACTCATCATTTAATGATATCGATATCGATTTCCATTGTTTATTGGCCTAATTATTTTCTTATTATTTTGTAATGCTTATCAATATTGTTATTGAAGAATGAGTAAATTTGCATCTCTTTATCTTCAACAAAGTATTTTTCTTCCCAGTCTTAGAATTCAATCCATATATTTATACAATAACAGCAGAAATGATAATTTTTCAATATTTATATTAATTTTTGTATAATATGATCATCATTCATCCAATATTTTCAAAATATTGTGTAAAAATCTCAAATAATACAATATCCTTTTCAGTTCAAGTGTTCAAGCTGAAATAAGCCAAATCTTTCTTTCTGTAAAAATAGATCATGAGGTAAATAGATTCTTAAATATCAAATAAAATGATGATTATTATTTTAACTACTGTATATGGATTAAAAGATTTTACAATTGACTCCATCAAAAATTGAGACGATCTTCATAAACTCTAAAAAGTCCTTTAATAAATATCATAAAAAATAATAAATATTGATAAATATCTATGTAAAATTTGCTACTGCATTGGTAATGATTTTTCTAGCATTTGCTTTTTAAGGATATTTGAACGCCACTTGAGTTGAAATGGACTTTATACCTTCACTTTGAGATAACTCCTTTTTTGGATGGTGCCGGCGTACTTCTAAGCCATATAGGAAATTAATAAATTGTGATTAGCTGATATAAATGAATATATTCATCTTTTAATATATTTTAAAGATCTTGTTATGGTCTATGATAATTGGAAAAGTTCGTTGACATATCCTTTGGATAATTATTGTATCTCTTCTGGTTTAGCCGAATCTAATTATCTTGACAACTCTAGCAAATCTCTTAAAGGAACAGATTGATCTAATTTTCTTGTTAACATGGGTTATGGTTTTTAAGTTGCTGAGACCTTACTTTAAGTATTTTAGGATTGATTAGCAACAGGAGTGCTATTGAATTACCAACTTCCTAAATTTCCTAATGATTAGTTTTTTCTTCTGAAACTTGATAGAAGATCATCATTTTGAGTGTTCTAACGTCGACTATTGAAATAGAAAGTAAAATTAACCTTTCCGTCAAACCGAAAATTTTACTGGGAGATGCCAAATTAGGATTATGCTCAGCCTTACTTTAATTAAGGATGACATGATGAAACCTATTGTCGGTTTTATTATCTACCTATTCAGCCCATTCAGTAGGATATCTAATAAGAGATTAAATGTACCTTCTGAGTTCTTTCTTTTCGAAAGTATTTACAAACGATTACTAAGGTCTGGCTGAATTTAGAATAGAGACTGATTCAGTCAGATAAGAAGTTCGCTTGTAAACTTGGGATTTTTGTGAGCTTGATAACATTAAAATAATTTTTATTTATTTGCATTATTTCATAAAGATTGATATCAAATCCTGATGAATATTTTAAATGTTTTATTGTTAAATATTTTGTAGATATGCTGAAATTCTTTGAATTCATTAAATATCTTAAGGTTGGAATTGATTTATAGAATATTATTAATGATTTAAATTAAATTTGCGTAAAGACTGATATATAAGTTATGATAACTATAGATAAGATAGTAATTCACTTTTCAGCAAAGTCTATAGGTTCTTCCATAATGACATTATGCATTTTAACTGCTGCAGGATCATTGCTGTTTTGGACGCATTAATCAATTTTCGTTAATAACCCATACAAAACATCTCTTTAATATTATAGATCATCTAGCGCATAAATCAATTTCCAATTGTAATCCATTTTTGTTTTGATATCTATTTCCAATTCTTTGATTGCATCTTCAGCTTATTAAGCTTTAGTGGATTCAACTTTTAAAAATGTTCTGCCATCAATATCTGTCTATTTAAATTTTAAAAATTCAGTATTTGGAATCAAATGAGCACTCATTTGTGTATAACGACCATGATGCTATTTTTCAAAAGCTTCTAATCTTCTTGAATAACCACGATAGTTTTTAACAAATGGATTAACTTTAGAAGCGTAATTGTACATCCACTGCAAAAATGCCATATTATCTTAAAATTTGCATTTACTTAATTTATCAATTGGAACGACTTTGTCAATTTTAAGTTTTGAAAATGCATCATCAAGAACCTGCGTTAATTATTATTATGTACTTTTAGATTCTTAGTGTATTCATCCGGGAATCTGGCCATAAAATTTAATTTTGAAAGATATATGGCTCCTGGATGCAATGCGTCTATTATTTAACAATAACCAATCCCATCAGATAATAACTAATTTAAAATTTTAAGGTTACCTCGATTTTAGGATAATCACATTCAGTTAGTTCATTTATCCATTGTAAGAAATCTTATCTACCTTGGTTATGAGATTTCATATAAAAAATATTGTTAATTATTTATAAATATTCTCAGTTTATTTGCTATTCCTCATTAATTTTATAATGCTCTCTTTTTTCGAAAAAGCGTAGTGATACATTAAGGTAGATGACAAAAGAAAGAGAGTAGGAATTAGAAATCTTGGCATTTTAAATATTCTTATTTATTGACGTTTAAGATCCTTGTAGATATCTTTCTTTTGAAAGAAATTATATATGGAATATTCCGGAATTGATACTAAATTTCTTGTTGTTAGTTGAAATTTAGACTCCATCTTTGGTCACTATTAAGTATTAAAATTAATAATAAATAATACAAATTTATTGAATCATTATTTTTCATTTCAGAATATGCCATCAGTTAAATTTGATATTATGTATGATAATGTTGAAAAACTTATCTTTTATAACAACATGGAAAAGCATCGTCCTTCTAGAGTGCTGATTTGCAATTTATCAGTAAAATTTTGACTTGAATTAATCAATTTAAAAAAATAAAAAAGATTCCCTTAATCATGCATCTCTAAACTTTCTTAGAAGAGCCCTAAAAGTTATCCTCTTATAAGTAATTACAACATTAAGGTAATGTATGCTTAACTACTCTTTCAGTTAATGAATAAAAGGAACAGAAAGTTAAATCCGATATTCAGAGCTTAGAGCACATTTGGGTAGAATGGTTAGGCCAACAATAAATGTCTCAAAAATAAAATGACGAAAATTAAAAGAAAAATGAGTCCATAGATGTAGAATGCACACAAGAGACAAATGTATTTGTATACATTATAAGATAGATAGGTGAAAAGAGTGCTTAACTTAAAACCTTCTTCGAAATACTTAAATCAAGGATAATAAATGAGAAATTGTATTCTACTATGACTCAAACATAAATGACTCAATTTTTTGAAGAGGCCTCTACCTAAATTTAAAACAAAATCAAACTCTATGAAGACATCTAGAAATTAAAATTACTCTAAAATTATCCAAGTATAAGACAAATTAGATATTCTTTTTAGCAAATACTAAGAGGACTTATTCAAAATCTGCTAATATGATACTCAAAAAATGGTTGATGGAGAATTACAACAATCCTTATCCAAAACCTAATTAAGTAGAGTAGCTGGTCTAATAAACAAATTTAACTAACAAACAGGTATCTATTTTAATGATTTCTTCTAGGTCTTAAATTGGTTTATAAATGCCAGAAACAGTCTTAAAAATAAATCAAACTAAGAGAAAAAGTTTAAACACATTGTTGAGTGTAAATTCAAGGAATTTGCTATAATGAAAAAAAAAAAATTAGAACAAAGTATTTGATTTTTTAGATAAAATCACTGAATGTAAATTTGTTAATTATTATCCTTATTTATAAAATTTTAATTTATAATTCATATTATATTGACATATTTATTGTATCAAGTGAAATTTATTCGTATAATTTTGAATTATATTAATATTCAATCCAAATGGCTTAGATTTGCAGATTGAAATTGAAATCATTTAGAAATCTTCTTTTTAGGTGTTACTTAATTAATTAAATCATTTACTCAAAATTTTCATTCTAAAACAATTACATAAACTAATTTTGTATGCAATTCTGTATTAGTGATTAAATTTATGGTTAAATAATATTGCAAAATTTGATAATATCATAAATTTACCAGAATTTAAATTTATGTATTAATCCAACTAATTACCCAAAAAAATATTATCTGAGTTATAGACACATGGATTCTACCTATAGATTTTGTTATATCTCTGAAATTTGATTCAATTTTGTGAATGACAAGTTTGAAAAGTAGCATATATTGTCTATCTAAATTAAAAGATTTAAGTCTACTTATATTAAATGCTAATTCCAAATTATTTTTTTTAATTATTACCAATAAAAATTTGAGAATAGATTCAATGAATAGTTTTTCAGATAGGCTAAATAAAATATAAAATATAATCCTGAATTCATAAACTAATTTAAAATGATTAGCCGCGTTTGTAAAATCGTTATTAATTGAAATCTTCAAATTCTCATATAGATTATCTATTCTAACAAAAGGGTAATCAGCTTCCTTCATTTTCTCATCTTTAGCACCCCATCCTTCTCTTTATTTTGTTCATAAATAAACAATTATTGTAGTAGACATGTTGAGTAAATCATTTTTGGAAAACTGATAGTTAATTAGTGGTACCATCGATGCTCTCAATTAATACTAAAACCATAAATTTATTTATTCTCTTGGACTTTATATCTAATAATTTGTCATAAATTTAAATTAAATTATAGTGATTGATTTTGAGCTATCATGAATAAACTTTCAAACAATTTCTGTATATTTATTGCATTTTTAGTTGATAATTCGTACACAAAAGAATATTAGCACAAACTACTGACTATTATAAATGAGATATTGAAGGATTAATTACTTTTATTGTTATTTAAGAGTAGAAGATAATTTGAGAGTGGGAGATTATGATTCAAAATTTTGATCACCTTTTTTAAGTATCTTACGGTAATCAAAAAGAATTTCATTAGTTTCTATAATTTATGATCTAGGTTGATTTCGCCGTACCATTATTTATTATAATAAGATGAAGATTCATATTTAAATATCAAAAAATAATATAATGCCCAATCCTTAACTAATCTTAGTAAAAAAAGTCTCAGTATCCCTTAATATATTCTAGCATAAAAATAAATAAAATAATTATTTATAAAATAAATGAAATCGATGCTTCATATTTTGCAGAAACGAGGTTCAATGGTGTTGATGGAGCCGTACAAAATTTATCATATTTGCTAGCATCAATGATGGAATGGATAAAGTGTAGGAGAAACATCAGGTTGTTCAAACTTATGTGGAATAAGTGAATCCTAAAACTGGCATTGCAATAGAAAAAGAGGTATCAAATAATGGGAGTAAATTAGGAAGAAAGATTAAATTAGAGATATTTTCATTTAATGAATCAACTTGAGAGATTAAAATTTTAAATAATAAAATTAGAAGAGAAGAAGAAATCATAAGAAGAGTATATAAATTGATTAATAATATTAGCCTTGAGAATCATCCTTCGGTTAAGGAAGTGGTTGGGGAATTGCACAAGATTTCTAAATATGAAAAGGCTTTGAGTGAAAACCATAGCAAAATGGTTGATGAGATTAAATTAAATAAAATGACAATTAATCAGTTGAAACAGACTGTGTACTAAAAAAGAATAGAAATAAGAGATATTGTAAGAGATTCGTTCAGAATCCAAGAGGAGATGATTAAAATAAAGCAAGAGAAGAGAACTGTTTCCAGTATATATATAGTTCTTAATAAGTCGACAGAAATAGTGTTGATATGTTTTTAACAATTCCGGAAACTTCCATTCCCAAACCATAGATTTTGCCGTCTATTCCATTAAAGTAGAAATCTAAAAGCACTCTGCTTCACATAATGAAAAATGTGCAGTCAGAAAATTAATAAGAAGTATAAATGAATATATTCCTTGAATAGAAAATTAATGATATTGTGTTTATTTATCGTCAAGTGTAAGAATTAAGATCTAAAACATAATAATCTACTCGTTTCATTTAGAAAGTGACAAATAGATATTGCTAAATTAAAAGTTTATTATAAGAATGTGCTAATATTTCTATTTAAAGTTTCAAAAACAAGCAAAAGATCACTAATAAAAATGGTTATGCCAATTCTATTTATTTTGATGTAAGTACTCTCAATAACAGTAAAAATGAAAGCAGCATCATTAAAGAAAGGAAAATTCAAAACATCTTATATGATACTTTATAACAAATAATGATTGATTTGATAGATTCATAATAAAAGACTGATTTGAATGGGTCATCTATTGCAGATTCAATGTATATTAAAATCTTATATTTAGCATTCGTAATTCAGTAAGTTAGGAGTAATTTATGCAATTCACATCAGTTTAAATTTTAGGTTTGATGGCCTTGCAACCTAGATTACTGACAGAATTGTTAGGAATATTCGATTTAAAGCAAAAGTAGGTTGGGCTGTTGTGCAATAAGACTAGATAATTGCAGAAATAATTAGATATTCCATGATTCCTCTTAAAATTTTTAATAATATAATTTAAATAGTTAATTATTCTAGATTTTAATAAATCTGTATCAAATTCTATTTACATTGTTCTTTTTGTTTATAAGTTTGAATTTCATATTGCTTAATCTGTTTTTATTTAACAATCTTAGCCCTATTATATTAATTAGTTGTTTTGATTTAGCAATCAATCTGATTCTATAATTTAATGCAAATAGAATTGGCCTTCAATTAATTACAATATAATTTAAGCTGATTGTACAATAATTAATTAAATGGATTCAGTACAGTTGTTAGGATTATAGTCAAAATCATGGAATTCTAATAGTAATTGAATATCTTAAATTTTCAAAGTTGGGGTTCCAGTAAATGATCCTCTGTGTAATTTAGGCATCTTCTTAGATACTTTGTAACCAAGATTATTAAAAAGTATATAGGGTAATACAATTGAAAAAAACTAGTAGATACAATTATAGAGAAGAGAACTATTCAGAATTGCATTTCAACAAGTCGAAAAATCATTGTGTAGTATAGGGTTTTATGGTCTTTTAGTTTTGGGATTCGATCTCATAAATAGATATTAAAATTTATAATTTCATATGGAATCATAATAATATAAATTATAATATCAATTAACCACTTTTATAAATTATATAATATGAAAAAGAAAATGCTGAAGATGCACAGACACAAATTGTTATATGAGGATGTATTGAAACAAGTGGAGAAGGAGGACGTATTATAATTTGATTTATTTAAGGTGGCATTTTTTAGTAAATGCACAAAGTTCAGAGACCAAGCACCTCATCCAATCACTTTGGATAGGGCTCTTCAATTCTTGTGGTTGAAGGAGAAGGTAACAGATGTTTAATTACAAGGGTGTTAGAAGATTGATAGAAAGGTAGCTTTGCAATTTGGGTAGAGGAGAGTGTGTAAAATAGACTCTACTTTGAAACATGATGGACCATCAAGCGCTCGTATTATTAAGACGTCGAGGATTAATTAAGGGGTGATTAATGGTTGGCATAATGGTTCTGGAGATTCTAAATTCGATTTGGGTGCATAGTATAACCCAAAAAAACTGGAAAGAAATGATGAAGAAATTGAGTATGAAGAATTACTAAAGTAAGATCAACAGAGTCCCAGTGAATACAAGATGAAACTTAATCATTTAGATCTGTACAATAATGAGATAAATGAGAAATACGCATTCAGTAATTTGGAAACAGTACAATTGTTTTAAAAATTAAATGAATTGAAACAAATTAATAGGTAAAGGAGTGAATAGCCTCAAGAGTATGTAGAACTGGAAGGATAAAGGTTTTATCATGTCTTAAGTGATCTGCAGGATTATTTGGATAAAAAGGTAGACAAAAAGACATTGATACATGAAATGAGGGCATTCTAGGCATTCTATCCAATAAGAAGAAAACTGTAAGTTAAATAATTAAATCCAGGGGATTCTCTATGTTAAGGAACTGAATCATAAACAGATATCACATAGAAAGCGACCTATAGATTATTTGATAGGGCTAGAACATTGGCAAACATGAAATGCGAAGTTTTTAATACTAATAACTATGTGTTTAATGTTAAGGAAGTCCCTAACTTTGGGTAGCAATTGAGGAGAAATCACTTTTCATAATTGATAGAAGAGTTAAGAGAGAATGGGTTGAAAACCCCTAGAGAAATAAATGAGGTTTCTCCAGAAAATTCTATTAAGGCCTCTCAAGTGGAATCCAGTGAGAACGATGTGAAACCGATAAGGAAGTTTTATTTGAAGTTACCAAAACAAAAAGGGGAATTGAGTCAAACCACTTCTTGTACAAAAAGTCTAAGGATTGGAACTTTGTAATCGCAGATATCACATTAATATCAATAACAACCTCTCAAGGCTTTTATCAGTAACTTGCATGGAAGCAGCACAGAAATACGATTAGATAATGGTGGGAAGTTTAAGAATAGATTGGATTCCAGAATTGATAAGTATGTAAAACAGTATTTGAAGAAGTAAAATGTTATTTAACAAAATTAAAATGTTGATATGACAATATTAAGGGAAAAATATAAGGTAATAAATCGATTAAATAATTTAAGTCTTTGAAATCTGAAAGGGAGAAGGAAATTACAAGGATGTATAAAAGTTAGTAAATTGATGGAATTAATAATAAAACCGTGCATTTAATAGTAAATTGATATTACTCTACTTTTATATAAATTTATTCATGAAATATTTTGTTGTTCTTTTGGCATTGGCAGCAGCATTTGAGTATGATGAACAATTGGCAAATCAACTGACAGCATTTTCCTTTGGTGCCTATTGTGAAATCAATGACATCAACAATTGGAATGTGGGAGCCATAAGTCAAAAATATCCAAACCTGACCAAAGTCTAGGTGTTCGAAAACGTTGAAATGGTAGTCTTGACATTTTATTTTAGAAAACAAGAGGATACATAGCATACAATTCTTAAACTTAGGCCATTACGGTAGTATTTAGAGGATCGGACAACATCAAGAATTTCATTGCAGATATTGATACCAAGAAGACAAGTTTCAACACAGCTTGTAGATGCCAAGTGCATGAGGGCTTCTTGGCAGCATACTCATCACTCAAAATCCATTTGGATGGGTTACTTGGTGAATATAGAGTGAAATATCCATATGCAAAATTCCACGTAACAGGTCATTCATTAGGAGGTGCCATGGCTACTCTATTCGCTAGTGAATTATCTTTAACTGGAGTAAAGGTGACTCTCGTTACTGTTGGAGCTCCAAGAGTTGGTGATTCTGATTTTTATGATTGGTTTTCTAAATTACCAGTGACACACACAAGATTAACAAACAAGAAGGACATAGCTCCACATCTACCTCCTTTCAGATTTGGATTTGAGCATGTGAACAATGAGGTTTGGTACTTTGATGGATTAAATTACATTGTATGTAAAGAAGTCAAAGGTGAGGATCAATAATGTTCTGTGTCAGCAACACGAACAAATTTGAATGACCATCATGAATATTTGGGTTGGTCTGTTGAAGCTTGCAATGCTGCATAGGTGGAATGAATTACAAATTGATTTTTATCATGACATCATTACAATTCTAAAAATATACAAATTAAATTTCATCATAAAACATGTTATTTTAAATAATGTGATGTAAATTATTTATAAAAGATTTTATATACTTTCATTCTCGAGTTTTCCATATATTTAATATTATCAAAATAATTGGTATTTACAATACATAAATAGTTTGATTTGAATTATTCTATATAAATAAAATAATAAAATCTAATGAGACCATCATCTGTTATTTTGGTTGTTTTGGCAGCCACAGTCAGTGCAACTTTTATCTATAATGAAGATTTGGCTAAGGAGGAAGCTGCTCTCTCCTTTGCTGCTTATTGTCCTAATTCAGCTATAACTAATTGGAAATTGGGCTATGTGAGTGGCAACTATCCCAATATTTAAAATCCTCAAGTCTTTGAAAATATCATTTAAGTAAGAAAATAAAAACATATTATTTTAGGGAACAAAAGGATATATCGCTTTCAATCCCACTTACAATGCCATAACAGTTGTCTTCAGAGGTTCAAGCAACATCTAAAACTGGTTGGACAACATTCAATTCGACAAGGTTAATTATAACGAAGCCTGCAAATGCCAAGTTCACAAGGGATTCCTTGAAGCTTTCAATTCCCTGGAGCCATAACTTGACACCCTCTTTGCCAAATACAGAAAAATGTATCCAAAAGCCATCATTCACGTAACTGGTCACTCTTTGGGAGCTGCTATGGCTACTTTATATGCAACCTAATTGGCAATTGCTGGAAATTCCCTTCAATTGACTACCTTTGGATTACCAAGAGTTGGTGACACTGCTTATTATAATTACTTCTCCTCATTTACTAAAGTGACTCATTTTAGAGTGGTTCATGAGAAGGATGTCGTGCCACATGTAATTTTAATTGGTATAAATTTAGGTTCCACCATAAAATTTTGGATTCAATCACGTTGATAGAGAGATTTGGTATCACAGAGCATCATATACTGTATGCTAATTGGATGAGGATCCCAATTGTTCAGACTCTGTCCTTATTCCATCGGTAGCTGATCATAGTTTTTACATGGGATGGAGTTCTTCGGTTGATTGCTGATATTTAAACATTAGAATACAATTAATATAATCAATATAATTAATAGGAATATCATTCTACATAAACATTTCATTTTGAACTAGAATTAAATATATATTTTTTATAATTTGTTCATGGATTTGAATGAGGAAAACATAATACAAATATTGGGTGAGTTTTTGGTATCGGAAGGATTTCAATATTACGGCAAGATCTAAGAGATATTCTCATGTTTGTCAGATGAGGATTGTGATCATCTATTTTTTGATTTCATTTTAGGATTTCTAAAGAGCGAGCCACCTTATAAGTCATTACAATTAATACATGCTTTCTTGACAGCCATTTCTTCTCCTCAAACATACATTTGTGAATTGATCGAGCAATAACATTATGAAATTTTAGCGCTTCATTTGTAACTCAATAAGTTCACTGATAATCAACTCAAGTAGATTGTATACGATAAGTTAAAAGGACAGTCGAATGATTATAAACAAATATTTTTGCTTCAACGATTGTATTTTCTTCTTGATCCTAATAAGAAAGAGAGCGCGGAATAAATTTTTACTAACAATTTAAAAATTATTCAATAGATCTTTTCAACCATTCAGGAAGAGACCTTAGTTTAGTATCTGAAAGTTCAATCTCTGCTGGTTCCTTTTTGCAAGGAGGTGCAGTAGTAAAAGCTAATGAAATTGTTGATTTTGATAAAGCAACAGAATCAGCAGGTTGGAATCCAATTACAATGGGCTATCTACGAGGTCTACGAATAGATGGGATGCACTATGAATCCGCCGGAATTGGAGAGCATGGAGAACACGCAAACTAAGGTTTCCTTCCGATTGTACTATGTGAAATAGAAGTTCATGCAAAACATCAAATAATTGTCTACTTTGATAAGGGAGGTTGAGGAGGAGCAGAGAGACAACTTTAAACTTTACACTTAATGGCAATTGCAGTTGTGATTTTATGTTAATTAAATTATTATAAAATGTGTGGCAATCGGGAGCATGGTTTACATGTGGTTGATAAAAAAGTATAGTAAAATAAGAATTAGTAGGAATGAGTAATTTCAAATATTTAATTGTTGATCATGACATTTCTATTCAATGAATTAATTTTTAGAATAAATATGATCATTATAGATTTTTTGTATATTCTCGGAATTTGTTGTGCAACAGTTGCTGAGTGTTTATTTGGGTTGTAAACCGACTATGAGTTGTATACTATGTTTTCATCGTTGCCGATATTGAGTTTATGGTGTCTTTTGAGAATTAAAAATAGACGGATAAAGAATAATCAATTATATATGCTTGTACTGCTTCTAATAGCGAATACGTTAAGAACTGTTGCAAACACACATATAAGCGAAATGTATTATCCATTATTCCCAAAAGGTTGCTCTATATCATTCCGCTCTAAAATCATCAACATCCTAAAAAGGTGTTTTTATGTCTACCTTTTGCTGGAGTTATTGCAAGTGTAAAGTTGGAGTTCAGTTATGATCACACCTTAATCGCATGCTGCTTGGTAATCCTAGTGTGGTTATCGAGCAGTAGCACAACAACAGAGAAGACGGCAAAGATTTCAAAGAATCGAAGTTACTCAAAAACTTGGAACAATCCCTCGGATAGTTTGATAATAGGCCACAACGAACAATACCACTTGGTTGTCACTCATCAAGGCAAAGTGATATCGAGCAACGAAGATATTAAGAAATTATTGGGTTCCGATGATCCAATAATAGTTTAGTAGATACTTAATGAAATAATTATTCGCAAGGTAGACAAACAGATCAAGGAAAGGAAAATGTTGAACTTATTGGAGACCATCAATTCCCAATAGCCAAAGTGCAAGATCCTGGATTGTTCTGCTGCCTTCGGTGATCATTACATGATTGAACTCATCCATTACAATGACAATGTGGGCATGATCTTTGTTGATCTGTACGAATGCAGAGAATATTGGGAATGCAAAATAACGAAGCAGTTAATGAACCAATTATTTCGGAGTTTCAGTCATGAATTCAGTACTTCACTCAATTGCATCAGGATACTTGCTGAAAGTGCCATCGAAGACATCGATGACGACTATGTAGTCAACAATATCCTCTCGCCCATCCTGAATAGTTGTTACATTCTCAATTCGATAGTGTAGGATGTCCGAGATTTCAGTTTGATTCTCTCTAAGAACTTCATCTTCACTATTCAGATCCAGAATGTGTATCTACTCATCAACGAAGTGGCTGACTTGTATCGACAATAATTGACTATGAAAGGAGTTGAATTGAACATCAAGATGAATGAAATCTATATCCACACTGATGGCCAACGTTTCAAGTAAGTCTTAAACAATCTGCTCTCCAATGCTCAAAAATTCACTTTCACTGGCAATATCACCATCACTCTCACAGAACAGATCGCAAGAGATCAGGTTTATGTCAAAGTAAGTGTCTCAGATACAGGTTCAGGAATGAATTCTGATACGCAATCCAAACTCAAAGAGTTCCTTAATTAGCCACACAAACGATAGTCCAATTTCAATTATGGGTTGGGTTTGATGATCAGTAATAGTATTTGCAATGGATTATCCCCTAATTATGAATCTGGAATCCATTTCGAATCCAACAACCAAAATGGGTCAATCTTCTGGTTCTATTTGGAGGATCTCAAGATGCTCGAAACTCCTGACTTAATCAGCAAAAGAACCATTAAATACAACAAGATTGTTAGTTCTGGTCGAAGTGTACTTGAATAGAGTTTTCTAATTAGTCCCAGTGATAAGAAGAGACAATCCTCTTTCACCTTCTCTCTCAAAGGCAAACAGAAGTTAATTGAGAAGAATTCGGAAAGTAAATCCATATTATCATACCTATTACAGATTTCTCAGAACCTGATGAAAATATTTGTGCCCCATATATTTTTAGGGAAACCAAGAAACCGAAAAAATGCAAACATTCCCCAATCGATCAAACTGCCATCGAAATACATGAAGACAGAGTCAAGATCCTAATTGTTGACGATGAGTTTGTCAACATCTATGCACTTACGACCATGTTGTCTAGGTTGAACATTAAATGCGATCAAGCACACAATGGCAAAGAAGGATTAGACAAATTCAAACAGCATTCTTACTAAGTCATCCTAATGGACATTGAAATGCCCATCATGAATGGCATACAAGCCACATCATTGATCATCGATTACTGTCACTCAGTAGATTTGGATCCTCCCATCATCATTGCCCAGACTGCCTACACTGACATGTAAACTAAATAAATGTGCAAAGAAGCTGGAATGGACTACTTCTTACAAAAACCTATTAGCACAAGTGAAATTAAATAAATTTTATAAACCATTAAGTTGTCATAATGAACAAAAAAATACTAGTGATCACAGATATATCTCGAACTCTTCTTCTCGCTGAACGATTGGGCAAATAATTGTATTTGGATCGCAGGAGGGAATTAGACAACATTAAACCAAATGACAAATACGAAAATTACAGTCTCATCTGGAGACCAGGAAGAGAATACTTTCTTGATTCTCTCATGATTAAACACAGAGACAAATTCGAAGTTGCAGTGTGGTCTAGTTTGGATAGAGACAAGACGGCTGCATTTGCTAAGTCCTTTTTCGGAAAACATTTCAGGAATTTGCTTTTTGTTAGCACCTGCAATCGTGAACAATATGAAGGCACCTAAAAAGAGTATAGCACTGAGCCAATCAGAATTGACAGAGACTTATCCTTGATTAACTAGAAATTCCCTACCTATGATCTTCCAAATATAGTGATGGTGAATGTGTTTCCCAACCTCCTGGAATAACACTCTTGTATCAAATTTGTAATTATGAAGTTAATGATATCATCATACCCAAATTTGATCCACAGTATGTTGATGTGCAGAGCGATGGCTCTCTGGATTTATTGGTCAAATACCTAAATGGACTCTCAATGCTAATCAATAAACAAAGAGTTCAAGATATTAGAACTGCAATTAGAGCAAAACCTATTGAGAATATGGACAAAAGAATGGACAATCTACGTAATAAAATGCATGAGTATTTATGATTCAATTATTATTTATTTATTATAAATGTTTATTTTTGCATTATTCACTTTGGTTCTATCTCTAAATGAGAGTCTCATCATTTAAAGTCCATAAGGTTTAGCCAATAATACAGAGTTGCAATAAATACCCTTCATTATTGCTGATTTTAGTTATGTGCCATATGGATAGAGTATTACAGGAGTGCTTGAAGTGGCTAATCCTTATCATTTTTGTAATTCAAAATTCAATCACTCTGTTGATCGAAGTAGTGATCAATCAAATGTCAAGATTCTTCTATTAAGAAGAGGAGGATGTACTTTTGGGGAAAAGGTAATTAATTTAAGATAATTAGACTATCTAAGCTTAATTGCTTGGATATTAAATAGTACTTATGCAAGATAATGTAGATGAGAATATAAATAAATTGGGGATACCTAGAGATCATTTATAATGAAACTGAGGAAATAAATATTTCACTATTAATGATTTCCAAAAAATAGGGGGATTTGATTAAAAAATTTATGGATGCAAACGATACTAGCAAAGATAATGTTTAAATAGTAGTAAAATTCCCAGATATACCCAAAACTGACGTTGTGAGTTACAATTATTTTTTTGAAGTAATGGGCAAATAAGAATATTTATTCTTATAGTAGTTTTATCCCTTTCATTTGGAAATGAAAAACCACTTAGAATTTAAACCGTACTATTCGATTCTAACTTGTTATTCATGTGAAATGCATAATTATTCAATATAGTATAATGATTGCTTGTCTGGAGGTAGGTATTGTTAATTTTTTCTAAATGGGGTTGTTCCTATAGATGGTTCAGATTCTGTAAGAGAAACTATTAGATAGTTGTGCATATTCAAATAAGATAAATCTAAATGGTGGGAGTATGTATACAAATTCGGCAATTAATGCCTATCAAACGCATATCTCCCTTCTTGCTCATTTGATATTATGGCAAAAGTGGGTATAGATGCAGAAGAAGTAAAAGCATGCTATGTCAAAAGCTTTATCAACGGAATTGAAGATCAAGGAGAGAATCATTTACTTAATGAACAAATTGATTTTAAGAGGAAGCATTTAATTTTATGGGCTCCTTCGTTACATATCAACGACATCAGATATAAGGGAAGATTGACTTTCCACAACGAAACCAACATGATAGAAAAAGAAGATTCATCATTGTTTAATACAACCTTTTTTGGACCTTTGCAAACAATTTGTAGGGCTTTCAAAGATGAATCCCTTCCTGATATTTGTAAAGAAAAAATAGGAGGGTTGTTGAAGGCCAAATCTGGCTATCGTCTACTTTCATAGCAGCAAATTGAAAATACTACAAATTCCAGTACTGAAGCAATAAACATTGTAATAGTGTTTGGTATGGCATTGATTATGATTTGTGCTACTTTATTATACTAGAAAATAATGAAAAAACCAGCTAAAGAAAAAAGTAATGGATAAGACAATGTATGCTCTACTCAATATTCAACAATCAATATATAGGAGAAAATTACACAAAGCTGATTTCTTTATAAATTAATAAGCTATTAATTCAATATTTAGAATTCTCTCTATATTCTTCTCTCTAATCACTATATAACTTAGAGTAAATTACATACCTTCATCATTATTATTTTACACTAAAAAAGTGAAAAATTACAAATCTGATATTACTCAAGTTAAAACCCATTTGTGTATAAAATCTCACTCGATAGTACTGTCATCTTCTCTCTATTCGTTAGAAAATACTCTTTAATAGGATAGAGATTTAAACAATATTTTGTCTAGGAAATACTTCTTACTTCTAATTCAGTTATAACACATAAGATATTTATGTTTATTTTAATTCTATTTAAGATATAAACCCACAAAATCTCTAAAAGTTGATTAACCACCAATATTGTCCAAACTTCTAGATGTTTAAGTGAGGCTTCAAAATCAAGTTAAGATATTTATATTTAAAAACAAAGAATTTTAGACAGTAAGATCTAAGGACCAAAGAAAGAACCCAAATAAATTTAATTTCAAGATATTCTTTATAACTTTAACGGATAATTTACATGACCATTAGATTATTACTAAACCGTTAAAATTGGATATACTTTAGTATTTAAATTTTCATTTACTTTTGAATATTAAATTATATTGATCCTAATTAAGACTAACATATTTTAAATTGAAAGACCATTCAAGTGCTGCTTATACATAGCCTTAAGCGTTAGATTGATTTATTGGACTTAGTCTATTTTATCTATTGATTAAGTTTTTTGTAAAAAAAGATAATTTTGAGTATGAAATTTGATTTAACAATGATTATGGTTTCAACAGTGGATTTTAGACTAAAACTGTTTGAATTGGAAATGCTTTGTAACGTTCAATTTATTCATAGATATATATATTTTTAAATAATCAGAACATAAACGCTTGCACCACCTAAAAGAGGATAGATTGAATAATTACAGAATTATCTTGGACACCATAATTTCCAAACATGTTATGGCCTTTCATTTCTCTACCATTAACAAATAGTTTCATTTTTTAAGGTTCTTCTTTTGATTGTAATTCTTTTATTAATAATTCGACCTTGTCTCCTGTGTTGTAAGATAACTCCTTATCTATGTTCCATTTGGTACTTCTTACTTTAAACTAGACTATAAAATTCAAATTTACCTTAACAATCTTGCGATCAAAACTTGAGTACAGATTCTAATCAAAAGATTACTTCTAAGGGAAGGAAACCGGATTATGCATCACAAATACTGGCAAATCATATTTCTAACCTACAGAATTCGTTTTGGATAATTATACCATGATTGTCAAAAACAATTTACATACTATTTTTGATTAGCTTTAAGTCAGCTGCTTACAACAGAGTTTTTGCAGTTCCTAATTTGCTATAACATGTACCTTCATCAGCTTCCAATGCGGCTCTTATAGTTGCCCAATTTTCCTTCTGTCCCTCTATTCTCGAATCTATTCTTCAAATAGACATATATACCCCAGAATTCTACTCTTTTTTATTACCATTCTTCTTTGGAGAGACGAGATTCATATTGATTTGTCTTCTTTATTCCTGTGCCAATAAATTAGTCAGGAATCAAAGTGAAGTAACTATTGTATTTTTGATTCACATTGAGAGGGTGAGTAATTTCGATGATTTATGAATATTGCTATTAAATCACTCTTATTTTACTTAGTAAGCCCTTTGTAATCTAGGATTAGAAGGGAGAGAAACTTCATTTTCTTAATTCTTTGTTGCACAACTACCCATTTTTATTTATTAATTAATATAATCACTTTTATGAAGCATTACTGCAAAAACTAGAGTTTAAATCATCCTTAATCTACTCTTGAAGATGAGCATTCTCTTCCATTAAGGCCTTATTAGTCATAAGTAATCTCCCTATTTGTTCCTCATTCACTATCAAAATAATCTAAATTCCTTACTTTTTATTTTTATTTATAATTATTCAATCATATCATTATTTATATTCTTATCCTTCTCTTAAATTAATTTCTTAATTACATTATCCATTTCTAAAATCTCATTCTAATGCTCTACATTCAGCCCTTCTGCCCTACTAATTTAATCCATCAGTTTTTATATCTGTCCCTAACTCTCTTTTTTCACCTACACTAATTCATTTAGTTTATTCTACTCCCATTGCTTTTAATCATTCATTATTTTCTCTATCTCCTACTTATACTCTCCATTCTCCTGTTAAAGCAATTTAAGTTAATTTTATTGGTCCTCAAGTTGTATGTTCAATTTATCTAATTGAATCTAGAATGATTATTCTTGTTTCTAAATAATCTATGCATTAACATGCTGCTGTTGCTCTAAAGTTGATTCTAACTGCTGATTTATTTATATTAAACTATTATTTTATGTTTGAATTTTCATAACATTCTGCTACATTTAATTGCACTTGCTCTCTAATAATGCATTTTATTCACTTTAATTAGTGAGAGTTTACTTTTGCTCTTCAACCTACTCAAATGATCTTTAAAAATCCTAATTTAATTCAGTAATCTTCTGTAATTACGTTTGATTTACATTTTATAATTATTTTATTTCATTCTCTAAAGCTATACTTATTGCTTATTTATCCTTTAACTATTGTTCTAATTCATTATTTAATTATAAATTTTAATAGAGCTTCTATTTTAACTCATGAATTTCTATATCTTTAGCTTCTATTTATTTTTACTTCTATTTTAATTCTACCTAAAATTCTTCTTATTAAACTGGCAATAATTATTCAGCCTAGTTTGATTACAACTTGCTTATATTTTAATCGCTCTCTTTCTTTTATTCTACACTTCCTGATTCAATAAGTGTTAGCCTCTTAATTTCGACTTGTTAACATTCTATGACTTATTGCTGTTAATGTATTAATTATCCTTATTCTATTTATTATTGTTACAACTTTAACTTATCTTAATTTACTTAATCTAAGATAAACTACTCATTTTTTAATTATTCCATTAACTAATTTTAGGAATCTAGTTCTTCATTTTACTAATTTTTAGTGAAAGTTTCATCACTCTTATTAGAATCTTTGATTTAGCATAATTCTTCTTTTTCTTTAATCAGATTTTGAATTTATACCTCAAAATGTTTAATTTGTTCTTCTAGATCAAGTGTGTGATTCTTGAAATTTAATAATTATAAATTTTAATCATTAATTATTATTTATAAATTGCCTATTGTTTGATTAAGTTCAATATATTTACATTCATGATTAATTTGATCTTGTTATTTCAAACTTTCTTGATTTTGACTTTGTAACTTCTGCTATTTTTTTAATTTTTCTATTTCTTCACTTAATTAGCTGTTGTCTCTTTCAATCTAACTATTGTTTTGCAGTAGTTCGTTGTTCACTACTTATTGTTGTTTTAGTTAATTGCTTAAAATGACACAATTTTATTCTAATTTTGATATTTCATCCAGTTTGAGTTCTCTAACTTCTTCTAATTGCTATTCATACTACTTTTAGATATTATTTAATTCTATATTCTTCTCCTAAATTTCTTATTAGAATTTATATTAAATTTATAGTATCTCATCCTCTAATTTCTTGATTTAATTTTAATCCTAATTTTACACCTTTCTTGGACTACCATAAGTTGGCAATTTTCCATAGGCTTTTTCAAAATCATTATTTGATTGTTACAACTTTCTGTTCTCTCTTGTTAAGTGATCAATCTATTTTTATAATGGATCCATTTGTTACAAGAAAGTCAAATTTTGTTTGACTTCCATTTAATTTTATTATTATAATTAATTGATTGTTTCCTTTTAACTTACTCCTTATTTAGATAACTAATTCACTCTATCTTATAATTCCAAATTTAAAGCCTCCATTTCCCTTAATCTAAGCTAAGCATCTTAGCTCTGTTGATTTAAATTTGTATTATTCGAAATTAGTTCTAATATCTATTTTTATTGTTGTTATAATTTTATTGAGTCAAACTATGATCCAGTCTAATTGTTTTTTAGGCTATCCAACTCTTGTCTTAATTCATTAATAGTATTTAGTTTAGATTGTACTTAATTGTTTAAATCTTTTACTTATATTTCTAATTAAGTGTTTTGTTCTGATGCTTTCTTTAAATCTGCTTCTTAATTTATAGTTCTTTATTATAATTCCTCTAATTTAGTCTAATTAGATCCCATTTATAAATCATCTATTTTCTACTTCTCATCTAATTGCTATAATTGAGTGATCACTTGTTTTTAATCCTGATTTTATTGATTTAAATTCTTTAATTAAAGGGATAAAATCTGCTATTGATTTTCTAATTAACTGATAAGGATGGTTTGTTAATGTACTTCTTCCAACAAAGTTTACCTTTGCATTTATTGTTTTTAATTTTCTATTTAATAGAGGTTCTCCTTTTAGATTAGATTTTACTAAGATTATTCATATAGGTTTTGAATATTATGATAATTCTTTTATATTATCTCTTATAACTTTTAATATTTATTTATAGTCCTTAAGAGATTGTTTTCCAGGTTGTCAATCTTGTTTGATAATATTGATTTAATTTATGTAGTATTCTCCTCTGTAAATAGGAGTATTTGATAGTTGATATTAGAAAATGTTTGATCGAAAATAGAAGTAGATGTTTATTCTGAACTCATCAATTCTATGTGTTGGATTGGGTCCTCTTTATTAGATGAAATTTACAAATCATTTTTAATAGTATGATGAATTTAAATTTAATTTGAGAGTTCAACATTTTTTCGATTCAATGTTTCTTTGTCTATCTACAATTATTGTAGTTTGTTTTCATTTTCATGAAGCTAAGCTTACTATTTAGTAATTTATTATGAAAGATTCTCAATAGTTAGGTCCTTTTATTTTATAATTGCTTCTTAATTGTCGAATTTTGGTTGCAATTATGATAATCTTTAGACTTTGAGATTAGAATCTGAGTTTTCACTAAATAGCTTTTGAATTTCTACAGTTTTGGAATGAAGTTCTTGTTTGTATTGTTTAATTTGTTTTTCATAAATTTCTAGTCTGAGTTAGACGAGTCTAATTTATTCAGTTAATTTGGTACAGAGTGCATCAAAATTTAATTATTATGGTTTTTCTGTAATGGTTTCTTCACTTGAATCACTGGAGTCAGAACTTTCATTAGAAGTGACAGCTTCCAATTGTTTATGATGGGAGATGAGAAAGTTTTGATACTTAGTGATGTCTTCCTCTAATTTGGATTAGATTTATTTAGATGCTTACATTTGAAGATTCAACTTCTCAACAACACGTTCTTATTTTTATTTTTCTTAATTTAAATCTTCAATTTGATGATGTGATTCTAGTAATTGAATTTCAAATTCTGAGATCTTCTAACAAATGATGGTGGATTCTTTCTGTTGAATTAATTCATTTTACTTGATTTCATTAATAAGTTTGTTGTTATGCAAAATTAAATCCTCATTCTTTTATTCCAACAATCTAACATCATGATTTAATTTTGATATAGTACTCTCTTATACCTATTTAACTTAGACATGTTTTAACTCACATTCCTTCAAGTCACTTGTAAGTTTGGCTATCTGTTATTTTAGAGTATTGATCTAATTTTGATTATAATCTTTCTCTGTATTTTGAGTTTCTTGTTGGTAAGACAATTATAGATCGTTGTTGAATGATTGTGATTGGGTTAACTAAACATTTTGGACTTCAGTAGTTTATTGGAGAGCTTGGATGTCACTATCTTTTTGTAATACAACCATCTCTTGTTGTACGTTACGATTCATCGCATCTTGAGTTTGTTATTGAGGAGCTGATTGCAATTACAATTGTAGTGAAGAAGATGAGACTTGTATTTCTGAAGATTGCAATTATAACTATTATCTTAGAAGAGTGTTGTGATTTTGGAGATCCGATAGTTGTATTAGCAGGTTTTGGTTTTATTTTTGTAGTGTGTCTATTTGTGAATGGAGACTTTCAGAAAGATTGGCACTTTTTTCCATTTATTCTAGATTTCTATTGAGTACACCGTTTTCATTAATGATTAGAGTGATCTCTTCATCCTTGTCTTGAATTAAGTTTTGATATTGTTCTATTTTATTTTCATAGTCAACTTATTAAAGATCTAAATTAGCTTTTAGCTATTTATTTTATTCGTTTAATAAGGTGGAGTTGTCAATGAGTTTGCAGATTTCCAGTTTGTTATTGTCAAGGGATTTGCGAAGCTCCAGAATGTCTCTTTGGTAATCCTAGTTTTTGAGATGACTCAATTTGATTTGTTGCTTGAGTTCGACGATTTGATCTTTATATTATTTGTTCTTTTTGTCGTATTTGGATTGGAGCAATTGATTTTGTAAGACAGATTAAGTGAATTTGGATTGTAGTTCCATATTCTGTTGTTGATAGTTCTAGCATTCGGATCTGAGATCTTCGATGATGGATTATTGTTATGATAATGAGATATGATGTTGGGATTTGAGAGTGTCGATTTGCTGATTGGAAGCTTCGATTTCTTCATTGAGGAGTTCAATGTCGTCTTGTAGTTTTTGGATGAGAAGAGTTTGGTTTTTGTTGACCTGTTTGAGAAGCGCCTCATTATTTGAATTTAACATTAATATTTTAAAAAATGATTTAGTAGTAAGGTTAACCAGAGGAAGTGCAAAAGCAAGACAAAAAGGATGACGGAAGAAATGCTTCTTCTCATAGGGAGGAAGGCAGAAAAGGATAATCAAAGAGACGTGATTCTTCGAATGAGTCATACTCAAATTAATCATCCTCTTTTGAGAATAAGATTGGAAAACGCTACTATCCCCACAGCGAATTTAAGATCCACTTCTATGTACGTCATGTACACATGAATGGGATGAGTACTAATGAATTTTTGAGTTTCATTAAGAGAAAAGGTAATGTATGGTAATATTTAGTGAACTTGGCTGGATCGTGTGATATAGTCCAAATATTCAATACTCAGGGTTCCTATTGCGATGTTGCAATTGGAATGAGCAATGACGATAATGCGAAAATTAGTATACATTGGCAAGAAGCACTTCAATTTCGGAAGGAATGGTATGATGAAATCAACTTATGAATAGGAAGACAAAAGGAAGTTGTCGAATTGAGTGATGCCTTTAAAAACTATCTAGAAAACAAGAATATGTTGGACAAAGAACATTTGGAACGATCCTTGAGGAGAAATGTAACAGTTGACAATTTATTTTAGCAATAATCAAAGGGCAGGAGTGACAGCAGTGAGTCATCGAGAAGATACACGAGTCGAAGTGTAAGCAAGAATAGGAATAAGGTAGGGGACAGAAAGCAGCCCCAGGGGAAAGGATCGAAAAGGAGATCATCATCTTCTTCTAGCTAGCCCAGAAGAACCAAGCAAGTCAAAAAGATCAGACAATCATCAAGGAGTTCTTCTTTGGAGTTAAATAAGGGATTAATTGAATGTTTAACCTATCAAACCTTAACAGGTGTTCACTGATAAGAATAGTGTTTATATCTTCTCGATACCACAGGAAGTTAATGAGAATGAAGTTATCTAAGAGATTGTTACTCATCATAAATAGAATGCACCTATTAATCACACTTGGAGTTATTATTTATTTAAATTATTAAGACACTTCTGATAAGATGCAATATTTGGAGTTATAATTTTAGGATGAAAATACTGCTCAATTTTTAGTCAATTTGAGGCCCTGTTTGCAAGTTAAGGGCATTCCTCTTTTGGTTGTGGCTAAAAAATAACGACCTGTTTAAGATTTATTGAGGAATTATGAGGTGCAAGTTGAATTAGATAGAGATGTACCTCCTTTTAATGTCTATTTGGAGTTTAAAAAGTATGGAGATCTAATTGGGATTTATGTGTTTTAGTAAAATAGGAAGTATCGCACCTATTTAATTTTCAAGTTATTTACTCTTGTATTCATCGTCCTCTTAATTGCAGGAGGCATTACGTCCTCCAGTCCATTTATAATTGGTCATTAACGATTAAGCTGTTAATGCTAACGCCAAGATTATTGATAAACCTATTGATATCCAACGACCATATATCAAAGAAACTTTAGCTTATTAGCTTAGCACTTAATAGGACAACAGTATTTCAATTCTTATATTATAGAAGATAGAAAAAGAAAAGATAAAAAATGAGAAGCCATTTAATTTAATATTCAAACAATATAATTATTTCATGTGGCGAAAGAACTATCATAATCTCCTTTCTCCCCTCATTCAATTTATTTAATATTAATTTTTAATTTATGGGAATTTTCATATGCTAATTAACCTAAACTTACTCAATTACAGAGATGGAGAATCATCTTCTGTATAATATATAAGAATTTATTGACTACTGTCATCACATATACACTCCTTCTTTTTCCGAATACCCACTTCATTCGTTTTATACCATCTTATGTCATTATTCTCTTAGGTAAATCACTATTTATTTATGCACCCTTATTACATCACTATTGCTGCATCACTACTAACCTGAACTTACCTTTGAACTATTAAATATTCGTAATATATAATTTGTTTATTATTCTATAAAATTGCTCAATTTGCAACATCATTTATTTATTTGTCATTAACATAGAAGAGGTAGATTTCCTTTCCAAGATTATTATATACTTTATATGTCAATCCTGTTTCACCTACTGCAGATTACAACTTGATTTCCCTACTCAATCATATCAAATCCTATTTTGACATACCCTCTCTTACTAATAATAAATAAATAAAAGAATATTATTAAGTTGCCAATTTACTAGTCTGTCAAACTTGTAATTCCTAACTTTAATTGATTAAACTCCTCATCTCAGAAAAATAATTATCTCAGCTATTATAATCAAAATTTTGATGGATCATCTTAAAATTTAAAAAATTTAGATTTTACTTAAATGAAAATTTAGGGATTGTCAAACTAATTGATTATCTAAACTATTAACTATTTTTGATAGAGGATTTGATGTAAATTAATATGTAATTTTAAAGATATATATGAATCTTGATGATCAATACAGGAATGGTAAGGCATTATTGCAATCACGGACCAAGAGGACAACAAAGCCATAATAGATGAAGGGGAAGAATTTGCCCATGAATCTATTGACCCATTTTTCCTTCATTGGACTAGATAGAGAATGATGTTTATACCTAAAGTAGAGCGAAATGTTGTAATATAATACAAGTCCAACATATAATATATTTAATAAAAAGATGAAGGGAAACTTCATCAACAAGGTGTGAATAGCCATGATCATGGTGTCCTACCATTCATACTAATTTCTCAGAATTAATGGAGGAATGACTATCATGGACACCTTTGTTTCTTCAATAAATGGTTTACCATGTGATGAACCATAGCCAGAATCTGCAAGGTTCAAAAAAGGTTCCCTCTACAATTAAGATTGTCAGATCAATTAAATAATAGAATGGGACTGGGGCAGCCTTATGGTATTGTTTTTGAATACAAAAAACATGACGATGAACTGATCCCAAGAGCCTTTCCTGATTTTATGATAATAGTCCGGAGTTGTTTAATGCTTGTACAATTGGTAGAACCTTGCTGAAAGACTGGTATCATTTGGATAATACTCCAAATATACCTAAGTGTCAGAATGAGGTGAGTTACCAAAGCATATCGTTATGATACCTTAAGGAGAGACAGGTCCATTCGAATGGGATATCAGCCCAAAGAAATGTCTTTAATTAATTTATGTACTATATAAAATAATTTATTTTAAACGTGATTATTATTGAAAATATTTAGAATAAGTAAATGAGCAAATAAGAAAGAATAAGTATGAGTATGAGAATGCATTAAATTTTATATAATATTAATATATGAAATAATAGTCAAATAGAAAATTATTAGAGTTGAGACAGAGTGTGAAGCAGTCACTTTTCAAATCAGTGAAGACGGAAAGATCTCAATATCCAACCGAAACAAAGAGATCCAAATCTATAACTCAGTGGACATAATTTACATTCTTCAAATAAAATCAGTAATCTAAAATCACAAAATTCCATGATGTGTACAGGATGACCAAGAAAATAGGAACAGGTGCTCATGGAGTGGTGAAGATTTGTAATAAAATTTAAGATTAACTAAAAATAAACTATGCAGTTAAAAAGTTGTCATGTAAAAACGACCCTGAGTTAATAAGAACTATCATTTAAACCTTTAATATTAATAGAACTTTGAATAATCATCCCAAAATTATCAGATCATATGATTTGTATATTGATGAAAATGAATAAGTTGCTTATTGGGTAATGGAATATTGCAATTACAAAAGTCTGTAATCATACATGTATAAATCAATCCCCGATGTTGTGATCTAATAAATTATGAAGTAGTTGGCTCAAACCATAACTGAAATCCACAAGAAAGGCATCTGTCATAGAGATTTGAAACCAGACAACATTTTAGTAAAATTGCACGGTTAAATTGATATCAAAATCATTGATTTTGGTGTATCTAAGAAATTCATGGTCAAAAAGAAAAACGATAGAATATATCATGAAATGTGGACCAGAACTGGTTCTCTTCTCTATTAAGCACCTGAAACCTTTCTAGGAGGTGGATATGATGAAAAACGTATCTCAACATTATTTATTTTAGTTGATGTCTGGAGTGTTGGTGTTATCCTCTACCAACTTCTCTGTGGCAAATTTCCATTTATTTGTGATTCCAAATTAGATACAATAGAGATGATTACTGATCCCAATCTCACTATAAATCAAAATAAGGAGTTATAACTATTATAACCACTTCAGATTGATTTACTAAAAAGACTCTTAAATAAAAATCCAGAAAAGCGATTGACTGCTGAAGAATTCTCTTTGCATCCTTGGATTAACTAGGTGAGCACAACTAAGTCAATTTCTAGTGATGATTTATAAATCAACAAGGGTAGTGAAATAATCACTACATCTCTCAATCTTGATGAAACTCAAATAAGGATTGACTTCTCTAATCATATACATTACACTCAAAAGCAGTTTCAAGAGTTGCTTATTCATATCAAAGATCATGTCATTGAAGATTCTTAAAGCAGAAAGAGCAGCTATTAAATCATTTCAGCCCATACATCTTATGAGGCTTCTCCTATTAATTAAACAGATGAAACTCAATAACCAAACTATAAAAAATGAATTCATAAGTGATTGAAATTGTTTGAAGATGTAGTTATTTTTGTATAATAAAATTTATTTAATTAATAATATAATTCTCTTTCAGAATAATATGATTAAAAACAACTGTATAAAACATGAAAATGGTATTGTCTATAAAAACTAGAATCCAATATTTCATAAATAATGTAAATATTTTCAATATATAAATAACTCTATGAATTATGAGTTTTTTTGACTAAATATATTTCTATATCAATAGCCATCCCTGCAATGATAAAATAATTTCAGTGATTTAAAGAATTTACTTTAAGTTTCAAAAAGCTAATCCAATTTTTTAAGTAAATTTAATTATGAACCCTTAATAATTAATATTATAATTAAAAATTACAAAAAAGAGAAGGAAATTAAAAAATTCTAATTACTATTGAGGATGCCTACTTCTTTTTATTTACAATTTATTAACTATTCTATTTTTATGATCAAATGGATTCCATTTTTGATTAAGTTGTGATATTTTAAACTTCTCCAAAAGTAGATCCTACTTACACTTTGTTACCCCCACCCCTTTTAATATATTGAAATAATAACTTCATAATTCTTATAAAATTACTGATTAAAATATGATAATTTAATTCACACATCTGAAACTTCAGATTAGAGTCTTTATAAAATTTTTGAATTCATTATTTTGTACCTAATAACTATTTCACACTAATGATATAGTATATTAATTTTCTGCAAAAGATCATTCCTTAAGGACTGTCACAAAATAAATGCAAAAGAATTCCAAATTTTATTCCGAATTTAATGGTGATTCCACTGGAAAATGAAGTATTTGATGAATATATGTGATTTTGAAATCTCTATTAAAGATAATCATGTTAAAACACATATGGTCTGGAAATGATGTGTAATAGATGATATAGATAATGATATATCCAATATAAAAATTAATTCATATCAAGAAGATCTACTTTTTCATGAACAATGGGGATTGATTAACGTAGTCTTAGGGTTATCCTTTGACTATTTGTTTTTTCATAAGAAAATTGTTTTGGATGGCAACCAACTGGTCATCACTCATCAATTTACTATTATATCCAGCAAATAATTTATTCGATCCTTTTCGATTGATTTAACCGGATCCATGTATATCTTGACTAACTCGAATTCCATAGGCAGTTTGTATTTCTGAAGTATGACTATATATTTGAGCGAGAGTCTCTGTATTGTATTGGAACTACCTTACACAAAGCATAAGATCATTAAGTAAAAGGGTTTTAGGTTCAAATTTGCCAGACTGTATTTCCTGTTGCTTTTATTTATTAATTTGAATTTCTAAGTTGCTGTATAGTTATCGAGTTTCTTGGGGGATTGCTACTTTTTGTTATTCTGAGATTTTCCTCTGAGGTTTAAAATTGAATGCCGTCAACCCAATAAGTGCATTCTGTTTGACTACCAAAGGTGGTTTAGTGGGTTGAGAGTTGACTCTTTGGTGATGAGATGTTGATTGGAAAATAAGCTATTTTATTTCACTATCAGTTGCTTTGGATTGCAATTAGGTGACTATCTTGTCAATTGTATTCTTCAATATTTATGTCACCTATTACTGATTTTTAATGTAATTGAGAAATGTGATAAAGGCTTCTCTAAGTTCCATTAATTAATTTAATGAAAAGTGTGGAACAGTTATTTCCTCAATTTGAGGTTGTCAATATCCTTAAATAAAACTAATATAAGAAGTCATTCAAAGTAAAAAGAAGTGGTTATTATTACATGTTGAGAATATTTGCATTGGATGGCATTCCAAAAGAAAGAGTGCAAAGTATCATTAAAATACTCTCTAAGCTATCTAACCAAAAAAACCCATATATTGTTAAGTTCTACGAAGCATCACTTGATTAAGATATGACATATTTGGGGTATGGGCATATATTTCATCATTAGAATAGTGAGTGATTATTTAGATAAATAGTATGATTATCCTATGCAGGAACGAGCCATTTGGAAGGTGATTTAAGATGTATCACTTAAGAGTATTCATTTAGATCTCTCAAGCATTATAATTGTTTCATCCCAAGAGAGTTCATGGGAAATTGCAATTATCAAATCTGTTCTAAAGTTAAACAAATTCTATTTTAGGAGAGATGAATATTCTTTTTTATTTACACAAACAAAATTATACTGACTCATATTTATTGGCTCCCGAATTCATCAGAACATAAACCTATGATTATAAGGCTGATATTTGGATGATGGGATACATGCTATATTAGATGATGTTCAAGGATCCCTTATTAGTAGCCAACAATGTGGATGCTTTATAAAAGAAAGTTCTTAAAGGAATCCACATTACATACAACCCTAACTATAGTCTCAATTTAAATAATTTGTTAAAGTTGATGCTTTGTTACGATCCTGAACTCAGACCCAATATAGAACAAATCTCTAATTATTGCCAATAAGCCTAAGGTTCTTAAGAAGAAATCAATTTGAATAGAATTCTACCAAAATTTAAGACAGATAAATTGGTACTCTACAAGAAGAGGATCGAAAAAAGATACAAGCCGATTTAGAATATTGTGTACTTGAGTCAAGACCATTACAAATAGCCTTATTTCCCTCCTTCTAAAGTGAAGAAGTAGAACCAGCAATCTAAATCAAAATAACTTACCTCCCCCTCAGATTTACAATATGCGCAATAAACAATGTACTCGTTGTAATTGCCAAAAGTCTTGAATTATCAAATCAGCAGACTCAATATTAAAGACAATCTTGATATGTATTTAAAATTATGATATCTAGGCTATAAACCAAAACTCATATTTAGTCAAAATCGATTGAGAATCTCATTAAAATTTAAAAAAGCATTGGGCAAACGACACAAAGGAAGACTCATAATTAACTCGTACTTTACAATAGAATCAATTGAATGAAAGGATAAAGGAGTATATAAGTGATATTAATGTTTTTGTTAATTTTATAATTAAATTATGAAGCAGAGATACTTAAATGAGAATTGTCACAGCAACATCTAAACTCATCGATCTGAGAGATCCAGTAGTTCGAACATCCTTTAAGATTTATCCAACAATAGTATTATGTTCTAATTAACTCAAGCAGGGCAATTATTATTTACTAAAAAACCAATTCGTGGGACTAGACAAGCTAAACCTGATGTGTTATCAAATGACCATGATGTGCAATTACAATAGAACAGATAGTACAAACAAAAGAAAATTTAATAACTAAAAATTTAGTTATAAACTTTAAAATAGAATTATGATAAATAAGCAACGTCACAATTTAATCTGCATAAAACTATTGATAACACCGTGAAAAGGTTGCTTGAACTCAAAGCATAAATTAACATCAATCACATTGAGGAGCCTTGGCAAGACATAATCAAAATGGAGAAGGATATATTTGGGAATGAGGATAACATCATGAAATAAATGCCCATCCAGAATTTCAATGAGGTTATATCAGGGCATTAGTTAACCATTTTAGAATTGGTTTCTTAGTAGTAAAATTTGCAACAATAGAATTATTGGATTGCTTAAATGAAACTGTTACATGAAACTTTCATCTAAAAAAATTTAACTATAGGGTAGATCCTCAAACCTAAGGATGTTCCAGACAATTTAGAATAGTCCATTGAGATCTCTTATGAGGAATTTACTTAATCATTCGGCAAAAAGTGGTGACTTATATATTATATTAATTAATTTATTATTTTAATGGATTCCGAGTTTGACGAAGTGATGAAGATATTCAGAACCAATTTACCTTATGAGGAAGTGCAAGCTCTGGTTACTTCACACCTCGAGAAATGGTAAATTGATTATATTAAGAATGTGGAAGCAGAAGAGTACAAAGTAATCAATTGATCTATGTTATGCAGAAAGCTTATAAAATAGCTAAGAAGGTGTGTGTAATATTGCAACAGAATCTTAAGTGTCTCTGTTTGAAGATCCAAAACCAACTCCCCAACATTAAGGATATCAAAGACATGATTATAACGCTCTTAGATGATTATAGATAGTTTTCAGATGCAGAAATAAGTCAAATGTTTGATGTCAAATTGAAATTAAAAAAGAATGAGGATGTCTTGCCCTTTGAGTTGAAAAGATTACAAGAGTTTTTAGAGTAATGTTACAATAAAATAATAGAGATCACCTATTTATTCTAATTTCGTTTGTCAACAATATCGGTGCTATTGAGATCCTCAGGAAGAAGACTCAAATTGGACTGAACTACATTTGCAGAGCCTTATCGATTCGATCCTATCTGATGACAAAGAATTTATTTATTTATCAGTAGGTTCAATTGCAATTGAATGTCTGTTTCGCATTAAATCAAAGCAATTAACCTTAACAAGCTATTTAATTGATTACTGTTCCCATGCAGATTTTAGAGGCGTTAAATTAGGACAGCAAAACCCATGATTTTCTGGTTAAGAATAGAATCACATTTTCATTAATTGAATATTCAATTAACAATAACTAAAAGGCAATGATCCCATATCCAAAAGAAATTCCCCCGTTTTAGATTCATTATCATCTACTTTTGGGATATCAGTTCTTTGCCAAAGTATTTGAACTTTTAGGAAAGTATAGTAATGATTTAATACAATTTTAATTAGAACTAAATCTTAGTAGGAATGCTAACAGTACTATAACAGGATGTATGATGAATACAAAAGAATGAATCCTAAGGCATTTGAATAGTTGAAACAGAAACAAGAATTGCTAGCATAATTATAACAGAAGTCATCGAGATAGAGCACATAATAGAAGTAAGAGAAACAAAAAACGGAGACGATTTAAGTGGAGAAGGATGAGATAGAGAGCGAGAGATTGGGCGAGGATAATTCAATTGTTTTTTTTGATTCTTGGGAAGACGAGTCATTCAATGTGGCAATGAATTTGAGGGAAGAATAGGAGTAATTTTATGAAATAGGAATGTAGTTGTTTGGAGATAATAATTTACTCTGTGGAGATAGGATTCACAAAGAAATTGTACGTTTCACTATTAGACTTACGAGGAGATTATAAGGACATACAGACTTATCAAAATCTGTTCAATCAAATTTAGGTGATAGATTTGGAGAGGGGACAATTTGATTTGGTGAATCAGAAATGGTATGAGACAATCTCTGGGTGTATGCATAGAATAGCTAATTGAAATGATATAATTAATTTTATGTTTAAAAACTTACCAAGACATATAGTTTTGGATATCTTGCAATACTTGAGTATTTAAGACATTCTGAGGATGAGAAGAGTGAGCAGATAATTGTGGATGATAATATAGGCTCATTATCAAATGTGTTTGTTTTAATGCGGTTCTCAGATCGATTTGTCAAAATACAAGGTGAAAGGAGTAATGTTGTAGATAGTGGCCAAGGATTCAGGAGTGAGCAAACATAAACCAATGCAAAACTATTTGATGAAGTTGTGCAGTGGGCGAATAGAATTGTCTTATTATGATAGTGCCTATTAGAAGGTGGGTTCGGATGAAATCGTGTATGTGGTTTAGAAGGGAAAGGAGAAGGAGATCATTCGAAATTTGGAGATTGTGGGAGTGTCTCCATCGTCAATTAGTGTGTATCCAAATTCTTCATCGTGTAAAATACTATCAATTTTATGTATGATACTTTATGTGTGATCAAATTATTGTTTTCTTTTATAATCCGAGGTTCCGAATGGATTGTCATTAATTATACGTATAATTAAGCAAGATATCAATTGAATCTATTCTGATTTTATTAATTACAAAAAATGTCAATCAACTCATCACACATCTCAGTGCAAGTTGGACCATTTTACGAGGGAGAAGGAGCATGGAGTTTAGGGTATGTGTCCATTATAAGTTGTAGTTTGAAGGCTCTTATCAATAAGCAGGCTGCAACATAACAATTGGAATAGCTACAAAAATAAACAGGTGGAAATTTGGATACAGAATGGGGATTTGTGTTGGCCTTGAAGACAATAGACGGTAAGGCTCAGGAGTTGTAGAAATTCCTCAATGAGAAATTCAATCCGATTCTTGAGGAGGAAAACATTATTATGAAGACTCACAGTGAAGGAACAGCTTTGTGGTTGTCATTTTAATTGAAACCCGAAGAGATGGAAGAAATCAAGGAAGGATTCAACATGGTCTTTGCTCAAGGTAAAGATATGATTTATTTAAATAACATTAGGTTTAGAAGAATTTGCTGAGAAGAATGAGAATTCAATATAAATGTTGTTGTCATCCAATACTGATTTCACATTTGCTAGTGAACTTCTTAAGAAGGGTGATAGACTGATGTCGGTTGTTATGAAGAGTCTCAAATTCGTTCTGAAATTGGATCTTGCTTAAGATTTGGCATAAACCATCAAAAATGTACTTGAGAATCTTGAGCCAGATGCTGCCAATGAACCTCCAATGAGTTTGTTTCTTAAATTCAAGAATTTCAAAGTGGATTTGGAATTCAAGAGTTCAGATGACTGTCCTGAATTCATTAGATAGAATGGATTCTTCGGAAAGAAGATTCAAAAATGGATTCAAGATGGAGATGCAGCTATACAAGATGAATAGGGAATAGCAATCCTAAAACAAATTCAAGAGGTAATCATTGAAATAATCATAGAACTTGCCAAATATGGAAATTGATTTCTATTTTACAATTCCCAATTTCTTGGCTGTCAGTGGAAATGCTAAATTGCCAGGAGTTGCTCAATTCTTATTGGAGTATGGAAACATCGTAGACAAACTGTGATATCATTAAGATATTTCATTGTTAAAATATAAACAATATTCGTATTACAATTCAATATTTTTCATGTTTACTTTATTATTTATACCATTTGTTGATGCTCTATTCTCCAACTTCGAGTACGTCTACGTGACATCCTAATTGGAATATTCTGCATACACATTCAAAGGTGTCATAACTGTGATTCCACAAACAAACAACATCCTATTATGGAAATGTCATGATCTAGAAGAAGCAATCCCAAATATTTCATTCACTCTTCTTGAAAACGGAACCATTTTGAAGCTAAACGACTTTAATCTCTAGTACGAATATGAAGTCAAACCAAACCCTCAATTTATCTTCACATACTAGGACTCCACGTAAGGAAATTTGGTAATAGATTATATAACATACAAAAATCCAGAATATGCACTCCAACTAAAAGAAATTGTAGATCGAGTGATTATCGACGAATACACTGTTGATTGGGATACTGTTCATTACAATTTGAATAATCTCTAAGACAATCTAGTGTAGTTTTGTAAGAAACATTAAGATTATAAAACAGAGTTGTGAATTATAATAATCAAACCAAATAAATATCATGATCCTCTTTCAATTATCTTCGCCTTCACTTTATCAACCAATTCCAACTCCTATTTTCTCACTTGAGTTGCCTTCTCATATTCTGATGCGAAATCGTTGCACATTCTTGTAGCACTGTCAAAGATTTCTCCATTTCTCACCTAAAAGAGTCTACTCCTATTAAAATACCTTCTTTCCTCTGGCACTGTCAATTATGGCTGATTGCTAGTCTTAACAAATATCCATAGTGGTAATGTGATCTCTCAATTTGTTCTCAGTTCTCTTCAAATTATTGTAATATTCAACTAAATGAACTCTTCTGTCATCATATTCTTATATTGATTGGTCTTCCTCTTCAGAAATCTTCTACAAATTAGTATACAAATTTTATTCCAAGTTTTGCAATAATTACTTAAGTCTTTCAAATACTTCAATGTATCTACAAATTTAGTGCATTATTCATACCCTCCATTCTAAGTTAACATCTAGGCGAAGATGCTAGAAATTTGACTCATTATGTTTGTTGTCTTCAATTTTACTGCATCTTAGATCATTCTCAATGAAATCTCAGACATTTAAGCTAATGAAGCACCTCCTGATTAGAAACTATCCAAGATCTTCAAACTTTCTTAAATTGATCTTAAAGCATCGATGTGATCCTATTTCTTTGCATTATAGTTTGTGGCACCAGCTTGTCTAATTGAATCCAAAATCTTGATGTCGGTATCAGTAGCCTTTAAATAATTATTTTCTTCATACTTTTTGGCTATCTAAGTTGTTATCGAGTTCAGCATCAGCCTTCTTCTTAGAAGTAGAACAATTTTCATATTACTCAGTTGCTCTGTTCAATACTTATTCTGCATCTTTCACATCCTTGGTTCTCAATTCTAATTCAGCATTGCATTGATTTCTTTGATCTGTGTATAATTGATCATGTCTGATTTATTCAGAATCTATTGAAGCTCTAAGATTGGACAAGAAGTTCACGGCTGTATCAATTGATCCACCTGATGATAATTTGCTCTCCAATTCTGTCAAGATACTCACGAGAGTTGGCTTGCTTTTACCAATGATTGGATATCTAGTCTAATTTGATATAGGCTACCTATTGGTTAGATCACCGGCTAATGCTTTACCTGCCAACAATAACACTAGAGTCACAGCAATTACTTTCATAATTATATTATAAAAAAAACGGATTATTATAATATAATTTCATTAATCAAAAAAGTTATTAATAAAATAAGATATCACCTTGTTGTTATTACACATCGATCATATTTGCTTATTTGATTCTTTAATCATTAAACAACCACCATTTTTGTTATCTTCTTACCAAATGAATAATAATGTCCTTATTCTAAAGAACCAGAGTGAACAATTACTCCAATCAATTTGTATTCGGTATTACAGAAATTGGATTCAATTGAGAATTTGATCTGCTGAGTTATTTTAGTCTATTTAGGAAAAAACTTAAATCTCTTCAAGTGCAATATTAAATATCTGGGTAAATTGGTTATTCTTGTTTTCTTGATTGCTATATTTTTCTTATGACAATTATCACATTTATAATCCTAGATTAATTCATCTTTCAAAAACTCTTCTAAAGATTGATTTACAGTAGATACTTTTGTTAAAGCTAATGATAAAGTCAGAAACTCTTCTGTGATTACAGATTTATGCTTACATTTCTTACAAATTAACTCACTTACTATCTACCCTTTTAGATACTTCCTTACGACATTCTCCAATTTTGGTTACTATTTCTTTTCGTATTCCTTGTTTACTTCTATGATTTCATCCTCTATCATCATTATCAAGTATAAGAGAAACTCCTACGCATCATGCTAAAACTTTGGATTGAACTTCTTGCTTATCATCGTTCTCAGATTGTTTATTTTGATATAATCACTCTGAGCATCTCGTATTTATAGTAACATCTCCTTATAGCATTGACAATATAACATTTTCTATCCATTATGTCTATTAATACTGTTTAATATAAAATGATTCAATTCTTGAATGCACATTAAACACTAAAGGATAGAGTGCATATAACAGAAGAATAACTCATTCTTCAGCCCTTTGATTGGTATTTCAGATGGAAGCTCCTATTGCGATGCACTCGACATCATGCTAATGTCAGCTGATTTGGCTCTCTCCGTCGTTGATGAAATTGCCGATACTGGAGAAGGAGGCACCTTATCCTCCAAGATTTCAGGACCCCCACCGTACTCCTCAAGCAAAAACCTCCACACTGTATCAGTCAATACAAAATAATCTCTATTACGAATTGGCTCTTTGATTTATAATAAGGGCGTGTTATCAATTGGACCTGGTAAGGTATTAGAGTTTTCGTAAAGGTAATTGGTATACTTCAAAGCCCAAGTTTCATTCAATCTGTAGCAAACAGGTTCTTAATTCTTTTTTACGTTGACTAATCTTTTTATAAGTTAGCATTCCAATTCCCTTTTATTATTTCCTTGAGCACACCTAAATTATAATAACAAAGGTAAAATTTGTGGAGCTTCCATAGAAAATGATGGGGCTTTTTTAGGAGGAAATTATGGCACATGCTGATTGATGGAGCTGCTTGTTTTATATTATTTATTACATTACTTATCCTCCTCGTTGAGATTCTCGCTATTATTGTCAGTGTCTTTAAATTGTTGCATAATAATATATAAATATAATAACAAATAAACATAGTAACTAAAAAAAATATACTTATTTTCTAAATATACACATACAGACATACAATTTCAGATTGAATTTAACTTATTTTGTTAATCATTTATTCTTCCATTTATAACAACCCTTGTGATAGACAATCCACTTGTGTAATCTAATATTAAATATTTATTATCACTTAAAAATATGAATAGAAAATGATATTATAATTGCTATTTATGAGCCAAATGAATTTGAAAAATGTTTATAAAATTGATAATTGAGATATATTTTCAATATATACAATTATGGGCTAATACCTCATAATTTTATTTCAGAAAAATTCAATATTTCTCAATTCATAATTTTTTCTAGTGAGATGTTACAATTAATTAAAATCTCAATCTTTATCTTTATCTTTACCTTTAGAGATTGATAGATAATTTATTCTATTTTAATAACATAGCTAAAAGTTAATATTTATTGTATAGAATGTAATCACACACTATATATTAATTAATAAGATGCTTTTTCTATAACAATTAAAATATTCGAAGCTGATTAAGTTGTTTTCCACAATCAAATTATTATATACCCTGATGAAAGTTAAAAATATTGTTATTCTCAGGGACAGAAAGCGGTGTCATTCTTTTATGACATTAAGATTTGAAAATTAATATAAAAAATTTAAATGAAAAAACAAATATACTTTTTACCCCATTTTCTTTGCAATTCCATGCCTTGATGACATATGGTTTAAATATCAACGGATTTTGAAAAGAAAGAGAGAGCAGAAAAAAATAATAGACCTTTATAAACCAAACTCATAAAAGATGAGTTTGTGGATAATACAAAAATTGATCAAAGAAAAATGGTTCATTCCAATGTTTCTGAAATTTTATTCAACTAATCTTAGTTTAAAAAAGTATCATTGTAAATAAAGATATAGTGTAATCACTTAATATACATTGAGATTGAATAAATACTAAATATAGACACCTTTTTGAGCTATTTGGTATCAATTCAATTGCAATTATATATTGATGCTCTTTAGATTTAAAAATTTATTGCTTAAAGTGTTTTTTATTGAATGTAAAATAAAAGTCTATAATTTTTAGAATTTAAATATAATTATTCTAGGATCCTAAATTTGAGAATTGCTAAGTTAAGACCTATAGTTAAGATAGTAAAGAATAGTTTTGAAATACAAACAGGTATTTATTTAAATATTTAATTATAAAGTGATCTGAGTTAAGAAAGAACAAAATCAAAATATTATGAGTTTATAATCCTTACTATAAATCATAATCTCTTTTTGCATTATAGAGATTTTTTTACAGATTAGATATTTGAGGTCTAACTAAAATTTTGGAATTCTTAGATATCTTTATGGTATTCTTTTGTCATTGTCCATTTAGACAGGTTTTCTTTATAAGTAATTGAAAAGAGCTTGTGTTTTAGTAATTCTTGAGGAGATGGTCGTTTATGTGGATCCTATTCCAGTAATTATCTGATGAAATCACATAAGACAGAATCAAAAATATTAAGTCTGGTGAGATCAAGTTTATTATTTGTATGATTTATTGACATTTCTTACTAGGTTTTACCAAAAGGGTTGTGTCCAAGTAATCTAATGCTAAATTGAACATAGTACAATTGAAATAAGGAAATGCCAGCTTGATAAACATTTGATTTGGTTGTTAATTTGTAATTAATCTTAAAGTATTCTGGAGGAGAATACCCAATGTTTACACATCTGAATAAGGAGGAATAATTACATTCTTCTTTCTTCATTGTTCTATTAATAGTAAGCCTAGTAATAGGAAACCAGAACTATATCTTAAGTGTTTGGATTGATGTAAAGATTTTTTAAATCAAGACTGGGATGTATTACACCCTTTTCGTCTAGAGTCAATAATACTATAAAGTTTATAGTCTAATAATTTACATAGTACTAATTAATTTGATACATGAGAGATAAAACATTGGTTGTCCAATTAAGTGTGATTATAATATTGAGATAATTTTATTAAATCTTTTTTTGAATAAATGTAAGAATAATTCTCTCCATCGTGATACAGAGCATCTACATAAATCAGATGAGGTGTAGAATTGATATGTAAGTCTTTTATAATTTAAATTTCTTAAGGTAAAACTTTCTCCCCATCTAATGTAGCCTAAGAATAGAAAGAAATATCTAAGCTATCGTTCATTTGACCCAATATGACATGTTCATAGTACTACTTTAGTTTTGAAGAGTCGAATATGGATTTCAACTAATAAATAAAAATTCTTCATTTACCTGGTAATCGTGCCTCTCTTTGATAATTTAAAGTGTTTTATTAGATGTTCCCTTTCTAAAGATGTACTTTCCAGAACAAAATTTATAAATGACATACAAATCTTCGGCACTTCCATATATATAAAATTTAGACTCTCCATTTTCAATTATAAAAAATAGATTTCCAAGATGTCCAGCATTGCATTCTTATAGAAAGTTATTCCAATCCATTAAAATGGAGTTGTTCCAAAACTAAAACACCAAAATGAGCCTATTTACAGGATCCTATCTTAAATTCATTAATTTACCACTATTTTCAATCCCACAGACATTTCTTGAATGCTAACAAACTTTGAATTATACTCTGATTTCATAAATTAGTCCATTGATAAATCAGGTTATTGCCTAAACAATATTTATATTTTTTAATTACAAGATACGTAAAGTTTATAATTTCTTTGTTTTCTATATTATCATCTACTTTTGTTCTTGAACACGCATCTATCACATCCCTTGTTGGTAAAACAGAGTCAAATATTTTTAAAAACAACATTTATTTTAATATTAGAATGTTTCTGTGTTCTAAGAATGTATTAGAATCAATTATAATCTAATGATAAAAATTTATAATTAGATTTGATTTCTAATAATTTTAAAATTATGACGTACCTATTATATTATCTTCAAAGTCTTGAATACCTTATCAAAGGCTATAGATATATACAAACAATGGAATCAAACAAGATTATTCTGATTAGGTGCTTTCTAAACAGTAAAATTAGTATAAAAAGAAAGTAAATATTTCCGAATTTTTGCTACCTTAACACTAGCAAAACCTCTTTTCTAACAGGACATCTTATAGAGAATACAATTGTTGATATCTAAAAGACTTCTTTTAATTATTAGATATAGAATTCGCTCGTTGTTTTATTATTGATAAATTGATCGCAAATATGAATAATCTTCATTTGAATCTCAACCAATATCATTTTTATTATTAATTTAGTTTAGTTTTCTTTCAGCTTGACTAAGAGATTCAAATGTGTTGTAAATAATGACTTTCTTTACTTGATGCTGCCAAATACCTTGGTCGACTCTTGAATTAAAAATTATTAATTATTTCTAAGAAATCTGAGAGAAATCAACCAGAAATATACTACACCTACAATCTTTCAAGGTATATAGTTAATATATTTCAGGAATTGACATTCTAGAAATAGAAATTATATACTGTTTATATTTCAAGTCCAGATATAATCTTAGATTCCAGTAATTCTTTAAACTTATTACTTGTCTAGAACCTTCATAAGTTACTACAATAGATAATCTTAATGTAAAATTTCTAATCAATTATTAATCTAAGAGATGGAAAATTACTATGTCTAGTTGTTAATTTGTGAAATCTAACTGCAGAAATACGAAAGTGATGATTATTGCATCCAAGTTCTTAGTTTAGTAAAAGTAATTTCAATTTTAAATTCCATCTTCTGAATAATTAAAAGGATAATTACTTTAATGCTAATACATAAATAGATTTAAAGAATCAATAAAGAATGATAAAATTAATCTTAAACTTCTGTTTGTTCTATTTCACTTTTGTATTTTCTAATAATATTGAAAAAAAACAAAATATAATTAATCAAATTAAAAGTTGAGTCTTATCCAAAAGAATAAATAGTGAAGGTTATTTTTTAGCTTATACTTTAATCCATCAATTTTAATGTTCCCTGCAGATTTCACCAAATCACATTTATATTAATAAATTATATGAAAAGTTATGATTCCTTAGTTATAAAATTAATTCATCATTTAATTTTTAATCATGGCCTAATTGTTGTTAACATGATTGCATATTATTTCCGTATTCATCTTCTTCATCATTTTAGTCAGTTTTGATTAGTAGAAATCAAACTTATCAATTCATCAATTATTCCTTTAGGCATATCAATATATATTATTATGAATTACCATTTAATTATATTATTCTTAAATATTCTGTAGTTATTGAGGACATAGTGAATTAGCTTTTTTATTGATTTATCAAACTCATATAAAAAAATTAAAAAATTAGACAATATCCTTAGGTCTATTGAGCAATCTAAAATTAATACGAAATTAAACATATTGACTCTTGGAAATCAATCTTAATTTCTATGAATCTGGTAGTTCGAAATATGTTTCACTCATAAGAACAATTTTAAACCAGAAAAAACTAAATAAAGAATATAAGTTTTTTTCAAATTCTCTAACAAATATCAAATTTGTGATAATGACTGAATAGCTTTCATGTTATTTTAATTACAAAAATTAATAATAAAATCATAAAATTTATTTACATAAACTTATTTCTCCTTCGTCTTAATCTTGTTCCTTTGATAAGTGATCCAAATGAGTTTGGATAAACTATTTAAATTCTTGATCATTTTGCACTTTTAACAAAATTACTGAGCATGATAGGTATTATATTCTTAGATCAGAGGTTTTAATAGATGTATCAAAAATGAATTTCTTTGCGTAACCAAAAAAATTCAATGACACCAATATTTATTTGACTATGCCTTTATACTTCGTATTTTCAGGAAGTTCATTACATTTTAATAGTTCATCATTGATATCTGTTGTTAGATTATAATTCTTTTTATCCTATTATTTTAAGGTTTATCCAGCAGTATTTGAAAACTTGGATAAATCATGATAGATTTTATGTAATTCGTCATCATAATATAATAGATCTCTGAACATGTTTGCAATTTTCTCAATACATCTATTTGAGTCTAAATGATTTAATAATATTTATATTCCATTCATATCGATGAATTTCCTTTTATTATTTAAGCATTCCCCTCTTATCATGCTCGAAATTGCACTTATAAGATGCTCCTTTACTTTTAGATTAACAATTTTCTCTATTTCTTGTACAATTTTAAGATAATTATGTTATCCACAATACTCTTAAACAAAAGCGTTGTTTTGATTACAATTTGCAATAATCTTTAGGGTTTATAATTTGATTGAATCAAATTTGGTAGTCTAATAATAATTGAACATTAGATTCAACCCACCAATTTTACAAAAATCATTAGCTCTATCCAAAGCATCTAATAGTTCCATTAATTAATCAAACCATTCCAAACGTTATTCTTCTTCATTCTCTTATTCAGGTTTAGCTATTTTATCTAGCAGGTCTTTTATCATTTAAAATTCATCTACAGAATAGCTTTACAATGCTTCAGTTAACCATTTTTTAGTCTCTTCATCCATTGGCTTAATGGAGGTATCAAATTTCTCTCCCTTCTTTTAATCTATTGACCAAGCAAGTAATCCAGTCCAATCCATTTTCTTTATTTATTTTATTAGAATATATAATATTTATAATTTAAAGGTCATTATAATGAATTCTAGAATATTCTCTTAAATAGAATATCAAAAATTGTTCTAGAACTAATTGTGCATGAAATATATTAATAGATGTTAACTTCTGTATTATAAACTTAATAAATTGATAAAAATAAGTCAAACATCATCATCACCATATTTTTTAATTAATTCTTTTAAAAATGGATTATTTTGCTATAAATGATATGAGAATATTACATCTGTTTTTGATTCTTTTTCAAGTTTTGGATTGTTGACATCTGAGTTTCCTAATTCAATAAATTATTCTTTTTTTTTAATGGGGTCTGGACTGCTTTGTCTTACTGGTTTTGTTGAAGTTGGCAATGCAGCAGCCAAGGAAGTTTTATATGAGGCAGGTATTTTGGCAACATCTTATTTGGAATGTGCAACTGCTTTGTCCATTTATTTTCTCCTAATTTCTTTTTCTAATCTTTCCTGTCTTTCTTTATTAGTTTCATATTATCCTAGTTCTGGGCTATTAGATCTTTATCTTTCTTTTTCTTTTTGTTTCTCTTTTTTTTACTTTTCTTTTTCTTTTTCTTTCTCCTTGTCTTTCTTTTTATCCTTCTTCCTTTTGTGTTCCTTTTAAGATTTATGTTTATTTTTCTTTTTCTTATGACTCTTACGTCTACTTTTACTTCTACTACTGCTACTTTTACTACTACTAGAGGTTGATCTTTTCTTCTTTTTAGATTTAGATCTAGATGGTGATTTTTATTAAATCACTTCTTAAGGCAATTAGATTTAACCTTCTTGCATTCCTTCAGTAATCATTTAAGCAATATATAATCTTTATTCATCATTTTTAGGGATGAATTCAATTTCTCCTAAGCTTACTCGTTCCATTACTTCTTCAAATTAGATATTAAGATATGTGCCATCAACGCTTTCTATTTTACCCACATGCCATTCATCATCTTTTTATGAGATTGCTCTCACTGAGACTCCTGGTTATAATAATGCCATGATTCTTTGATTTATGTTTCTCCTTTGTCTCTTCTCTTAAGACAACAATATTTTCGCTTATATAATAGTATCAATCTGTTATGGGATACGAGGCAATCGAGTATTATAATAATTCAAGTCTGTAAGTAATCTCTCACAAAAATCTCCAATCGTAATGTTTTCATCTTTGGAGGGTTTGAATTCTAATATTTTCAATTGAATTACCTTATTCATCCAAAATATATCGCTTCATCCATCCCCATAAAAAATTAGGATCCAACGAATATCTTAAATATAATAATCCTAAACATCTAACATATGGATTCAACTTCCAATCACATAAAATTTGTAATTATTTGACTATTTTCAGTATTCAATCTTGTATACCATTTAAATTCATGCTCATCAACTTATGTAAAATACAGAAGAACGATGATGGTACTCCTGGACCAGCCCAAGTGCCAACCGATGTAACAATCTTATCTGTCTCAGTGACAATGTCATTAATATCTCTAATCTATAATAATTCTTTGTAATATGGACATGTAAGTATATTTTATCTAACTAGTGAATTCATATTGCTGATTGCATTTTCTCCTCGACTTTCATTAAATTGTCACAAATACATCGGTATAATATTATCTCCTCTGTCTCCAACATCATAGTGATATTTATCCATATTGATTGACTTCTCTTAGTATGTTGGTACTTCTTCCACAACAATTTTCTTACATTATCTAATCATTCAAATTTGTTACTACCTGCAAGTTTTGGAGTAATTGTATTAATGAATTGGACATCTAATAGTTGGATTTGATTTCTCTAGAAGATTGGTTTGAAATTTGATTTCAGATTCTATCTTCTTATAACTTTCATATGCAGTCAACTTTTGATTTTTATCATTTTTACTCATATTAATTTTAATCAATCATTCAAATAAGCATCACTCAATTTCGGATTGATGTACACTGGCTACCCTTATTTCTTCTTCCAAATATTGCATAGATTCCTCATCAACATACACACAGTCATTGGTCCCACACCTCCAGGAACAGGAGTAATAAGCGATGCCTAATTTTTGACTACATCAAAATCAACATCCCCAACAATCTTGCCTTTCTTTTCCCCTTATGAGATTCCAACATCAATTACTATTGCTCCTTACTTCACATTTCTAACTAGTTTGGGATGTCCAGCAGCACTTATTACAATATCTGCATTCATAATATGTTAATCTAAATTTAATGTTTCCCTATGACAAACTGTGACTGTGGCATTCCTTTTTTGTAACAACAATGACAATGGCATTCCGACTAAGAAGCTTCTACCTATCATGGTTACTCTCTTGCCAATCACATTAACATCATAATAATCTAAAATCTATAATACAGCTGCTGGAGTGCATGGTAACATCTCACATAATTCTCCATAAACTAAAATCCTTTGTAAATTATGCATATGTAAACAATCCACATCTTTTTCATAGGGAATCGAATGTATGATATCCAATTTATTCAGATGTGGTGGTAATGGCAACTATTAATATTTTTATTTATTAAAATACTTACACTAATATACCATCATGATTCATTTATTAGATATGCTTAATCAATTGCTCCTGTTCAACATTCTCTGAAAAATTAAATACTTCTGCATCAACATTGATTTCCTGACAAGCTTTAAGTTTCCTATTCACATAAGATTTAGAGGCTGGTGAATCTCCAACTAAACAGATTCCTAATTTTGGCTTTATTTTAGATGTTACACGAAGAGTCTATAAAATTGAATTCGCTAATTGATTACCATTAAAAATCATTTTTAATTATTTTACTACCTAAATGGAGAAGAGTAGAAAGGTTTCATTTTTTTAGAAGTATTTTTGTTGCGGAACCCAATCAGATATCTAAGAACCAAAAACAGCAACAAACACATATATTAAAACAACAACAATATCTGAATATTTGAATTCGAATGAGAAGGATCCTTCGTTGTATTCCCTATACTTTGTGGATGGTTGTTATCAAGACAAGGTGAGAAAGATTAAAACGGAACATCCTCTTAAAGATTTGTTAATTAGTGAGACCCTTACAGAAATCACACATCTTTCATGTCCAATATGTTTCAGATATTTTAATTGTAAATTTGAATTTTGAGTATTTTAAGACATATTAACGTCATGTTGTTGTATCAATTAGATTTGCCATATATGTGCCTTAGAGTTTTAACGATCAAAGTGTCACTTCTGTTTAAATGAGATTTGCACATACAACGACGCAGATTCAACAACATAAAAAATATATACAGATTCATAGGGAATGCAATTAATAGCCTTGAAATTACAAAAACATTGATTTTGTTATTTTTATCTACTAATTAATTAAATTTAAATTGAATTATGTTATTCGAATACCCTCAACAACCTGCCTTTATTTAAAAATACGAACTCATCAAACACTTTTTTGTCTAACTTCAATAAGTAAGACAATGTGAATAAGGATCCAATCCATCTTCAAAAGTTGATAGGCAATAAGAATTCGATAAATAAAATTCAAAAGCATAAATAACTGAGGAATCCCTTAAGTATGATGATTCAACAACTTCCAGACAAGTACCAAAACAAAGAAGAGCTGTCTATATCACAAAGAAATCAGAATAAAGAAAGTCAAAAGAGATTGTCACTCTTCCGTATAGACCATCAGATATCATGATGATTGAATAATAAAAAGAAAAAATAGATCAATTTTGCTAGGATAATAAGATACTCTACGAAAATAAAAAAGAATGCATGTACATCATTAAGAGAGTGGCTAAGATGATTAAAAAACTAAAACAAAAAACATGTCAAGATCACTTGAATAGTATCGAGCATTTCATAATTGAAATTAAGAATTAAGGATGCTGAAATAGCAAAGAAGAATGAATGCATTCGATAAATAAGAGAAAAATACAATCAAATGATGAAAGTTATTGAAGAACATACAATATAAGAAGAATAGCAATGGCAAGAAATCTAAGCATAATAAATTGAATTAGAAACATAGAATCTCTTTTTGAAAAAACTACTATCTGTAAATTTCAGCGACGAGTAAATAAAATAGTTAGAATAACAATAAAATGATGTAGAATTACAATTCTTTGATAATTTTTGTATCTCAAGAAAAGACTTAGACAAGTAAGCAATTCTAGAATATGAAAAGATGTTGTAAAATAGAAAGTCTTAAATTGAACAATAATATGTTGATTGGAACATGGCTCAAATAAACTCACATTATTAAAATCAATAGCCTATGCATCAACCTCTGTAGGATTTGTATGCTGAAGAAAAAGAAATGATGATGAAGAAATAATCTAATCAGCTTATGAGTCAGGAAGACAAACAGAGGATAATGGAAGATTTGATGAAACCCATTAATTCTTTCCAAGTAACAACAGATAAATGTCTAAGAAGTTAAACAAAAATAGTTGGACATCCTTTCTGGGTCCTCATCAAATAGTTCACTCTAAAAAAAACAATAATCAGATTAATCTCAATAATAGCCAAAGAAATTAGCCATAGATATTGATACTAAGGAAAGCATTCCTTAATCAATTGTAAATGATACTTAGGCGGAGAATAAGTTATCATCGAAAGAACAACTTTTGAGTTCTCTCAATCAGGGATGGGAAAAACTTATTTAAAAAACCTCTAATTAGAAAAGGTATTAGGACTATGATGAGGAAGGTGATTAGGTTATCACTTATAATCCTAAAAACCACATGTAAGATATAGAGTTTAAGAATAGGTTTACAAATTCTCAAACAATTATGTATGAAGGTGATGATTATATGGAAGACGATGATGAAGATGATGTGCAGGTCTATTAAAACATTTTTAATTAACAGAGTAAATAATTACAAAAGCCTACTCTTACTAAAACACAAAAGAATTAAGAACTATAATATTAGTGATGTTGTTATGATTGACTAATTTTGTATTTAAAAAGAATATCATCTTCCAGACCATGAGGCAACTTATTTCTTGAACATGATGATTACTTCATCCAAAATGGCATTCTCCTCTTGTCTCTTGGCTTTTGCTTCAGCATAATCAGCTCTCTTGCTTTCTAAGTCAGATTGGGCCTAATCTAAAGCATCTTGTGATTCTTATAAGATGATCTTTGATTTAGCTTATTGAGCTAAGGCGGCTTGGATTTACTAAACAATATAATGTTGAAATACTTACAGTGGCAGTTCTGTCAGCGAAGACTTATTTTCTTTCGTATTCAACTTCCAATGAGGCAATTTCAGCTTCAGATAAGGATACCCATCCAGCCAATTCCCATGAGGCATTGATTTCGTTTTATTTCAAATTTTCTAATGAGGCAGATAATTCTGATTCTAAGCCTTCTAGGACACCCAAGACTCTTTCAGCCAATGTTTATCCATGTCCAGATGATTCTGAAGCCTAATTGATATATGATTATGATAGATACTTATCCTTCTTAAGCAAGTGCCATGAAGGTCTTGATTTAGTGTTCTTAGAAGAGGTTGCTGTATTATTTCAATTTCTCTGCAACTGATTGAGCTTAGACTTAAGTGAATTCAAAGGAATCTCCATTGATGATGTATCCAGCAACATCTTATTTGAGGAGTCTGATGACTTCCAAAGCTTCTTGGTTATGTTTGATGGACTTAACAAACAATTGGTTGGAGAAGCATTAGTTGTCTTAGAGTGTTTCAATTTTGGCAGCAATTGAATCTCTTCTGGCTTCATTCCATGCCAAATGATTTTTGGTTTATTGAAGAACGTTTTCATACTCGGCTCTGTTTTCAACAGCCTATTGGAACAATTTTTGATTGAGGGCCTTGATTTTACTGAATTATTCAATGGTTTAAGCACCAACCCATTCGTCTGTCTCGTTCTTTTGGTCTGCTGCGAATTGAGCATCGATGTTTGATTACTTTAAATCGTTAAGCAATCCAAAGACTGTGTCAATGGCATCACTGGCCTTTGTTCCTGTTTAAAGTAAGGCCAAGATTTAATCTTTTGTGCTGGTGGCATTTGAGACCACAGCCAATGCAAGAATGATAGCGATGATTCCTTTCATTTATTTATTAAATAAAAAACGACACAATTCAAAAACGATTTAATTTCATATTATTTTATATTTCTCATCTCTAAATTTTTTTGCTTGTTCTTTCATATCCTTATCATAAACTTCAGGGTCTTTGTAAATACTGTTTGCAGGATCATTGAAGGTAGGACTTAGATTTATAACTTTATTCAATACTAATGTATAACTTGGTTGATTCCTGAAAAGACATCAATCAAACTAGTGCTAGAAATCCATGTTTCTTTGTTAACCAAGTACAAGCAAAGCCTACCCATTGGAAAAATATTCACATGTTAAAAACTATTGCGAAAGTTTACTTATGGAGCTTCAACTGGGAACCCATTTAAACTAACATCTGCGATAATGTAGGCACCTATTTCTAATTTAATATTCTACCATCATGAACACTACCTTTTTCACCTCTTATTTAAAGTACATAATTATATCGATCAATTCGCTTATACTAAACATTTGGAGGCAGAGCATCTGAATTTTCTTCAAGCATTTATTCTTCATATTCCATTCTCTTGTTGCTAAACTTAAACATAATTAATAATATCTTTAATTAATGCTCACCAGATCAATAAACACTTTAAGGTTGGGCTTGAAGAATCTCTATCAACTCAACCACATCAAAAATTTCCATAATGCCACAGTGGCACATAAAGCATAGGTCATGAATGATGAATCCTCATATGTTGTCAAAACTGATCGAATTTACAAACCAACATACACCATTGAGTTCGATAGAATTGGAGAAGTGTTGCTGTAATTGAGTCACTAATCATTAGTTATTCATGTGATCCCCATAAACATCTTACAATCTTCCTTAAATATCCATATGTACTTTATGAGACAGCCATTCCATTGTCCGTTTACCTTTGGTTTAAGAACCCATTAGACATTGCATGGTATTGGAACAACCTTTTCATTTATGCACCATCATTTTTGTGGATTCCAAGAATGTGGTAATAAATCTTTCCATTTTACATAGGTATTGGAGATCATTGTAATATAAAATACAAAGACTCTCTTTACTCAGAGGTGGCAAAATCTTAAAGATTGAGACAAACACTCTTGCTAATGATAAAAACACTTATTGGGTTGAAACATATTAATTCCACCCATTAACAGCTGATTTCACATAATTTGATGATCGCGATAATGCAGATTATTTGACAGAAGAAGGACAATTAAAATATGAATTAGCATGTCAACTTGATCATATCTAAGAATTGGGTACCACAGTTTAAGACGAAGTTATCTATTTCATGAAAGTATTTGAATTATAAATGGAAATAGGAAGGAATAGTTCATCATCCTGAATTATTTGAAGCAGCTACCAAAGGTTATGTGGTTGACACATCCAACTTTGTGATTAATACTGCCCATAATATCAGAGCATTTGAAGGTCATCACAATCAATGAAATAAACCATTACATTATAAAATCATTCAAGAATATTACATACTTAACATGTACAATAATTCAACTAAACTACCAATTTCCTGTACTGTCTAATTATTCTAAGTCAATTCCATCTCCGTATCCTATATATCCTAAATCTGTAAATGATCTGTCAATCACTCTATGATCCACGTATTTTCCCTCCTTTCTTACTGCTTTGTCTTGTTAAGGAGTTTATGAATTCGATCCATCATAAGACCTAGTTGATGCCTAATGAATATATCATTCTTTATACTCTTCGATAATTTGACAATAGAGTGGGTTGAATTCCTTCAATATTCTAATCAAATTGTTCCACCTCTTCATTAGCCTTCTTTTATTTATTATATTTCTTAAACTCATCTTCATTCATTTTATGTCCGATCTATGAATCAGTCTTGGACTATAACCAACCAGAATTTGGAATATTATTTCTGAAATTCTAGAACGCAAATATCTGATCTATATATTTCTTCAACTGAGCCCTTCTTTAAAGATCATCTAAATTTTTGGAACATAATTCTCTCTGCAACACCTCTTAAGCAGTAGTTCTATATTCTGGTAATTAATGTAACATGGGCATCATAAAAGAAGCAAAAGATAATGCTTCTTCTTATTTGAATCTATATTTCTCAGTTAATACATTGAATAAACTCCAAAAGTGCAATTATGGAATTCTTTTCATTTGTCCATTGCTAGTAAAGTACCTCTTTAATAATAATCATTAATTCAAATTACTTTAGCTTTTGCACCTCTTGTGCAATATTCATAAGGAAACTTTCCTAACAACTCTTAAATTTAGGCTAAATGATCTTCATTTTTTGAAAAGTTTGGGCCTTATCTGGGTTCAAACAGATAATCTCCTGTGAGCATTTCAAATATCATGCAAGCAAAACTCCAGATATCTGCAGTTGGATTATATTTGACTCCCAACAACACTTCAGGTGATCGATACTATCTAGTTTATATTAATGTTGAGAAATGATGATGTATCCAACAGGCATTACCAAGATCTGCTATTTTCAAACGAAAATTGTCTGGCAATTTCTTTTGTTAAGTAAATGAAATCCTTTCATTAATAAGATCAATACTTATTTTGCTATTAAAATAATTCTTTTATGGATTTAGGCCTTTCTTGTAATGTTTGTTCATCACGTCCGATTATAAATTCGTTTTATTGTGTTTCTTACTATTGTTATTACTTTTTTTTTCTCAATAATTTTCTCTTCTAAGTCTTTGTTAAATTTGTGGATTATGAATCTACATCATCTTCCTCCTGTTTCTAAACAACCTTTTTCTCTTCAACTACTGGTTTGTCTTCTACTATTCCTAACATCTATCTGTAGATATGGATTCTATCTGAGAATAGTTGATTTGATGTTAATTATCCATTTTCTACTATATCTTTAATCTCCTCATCAGATAAACACAATAGAACGTTCTCAGGTTTTAAGTCTGTATGGATGACACCACAAATTCTATGTAAATAATCTAATCCAATCAAAATCTATTTAGCCATTCTCCTGGCAATATCCATAGGACACTAATCATCATAATTTAATATGTTACTCCTTTATATTCAAATCGTTTAATGATCTCTAATAGATTGACACCCAATATCTCAAATACCATACAAAAATGATGACCATAAGGTCCCTTGTAGACAAAAGAATTCAATAATTAAACAGTGTGAGTATCATCTCTGTTGAATGAAGTTCTTCCTTACTGTTAATAATTATCAAATAAACTAATACATCTGCATAATACTCCTTTAGTGATTGTATCCACACTGGATTCTATACATTCTATGCAACCTTTTAGAGAATTTCAACCTAAAATCAATAATAAGTTTCTTTTACTTCATCATATGCAGCTTCCAAATAATGAGAAGCACTCTTCTAAATTTTTAAAGCCACATAAGTTTCATATTTAAAATCCTTAGCCAACCACACAGTGGAGAAGTGTCCCCATCCTAACTTTTATATAACCACATATCTATTTAGTAGCACCTCTCCAATATGAACTGGATGATATCCTAAATTATACTTACTATATACAACCTCCTATTTTGTAGTCTTCCATTCCCTCGTCTTCACTATCATGTTCTTGATCCAAATGATCCATCAATTCCTCTATTTATTCATTCCTAAATACATTCAAACAAAAATCATTACGTAGGTTTTTCATTCTTGAACCCTTAAGAAGACTACATTTATGCTTCGAATCGCAGTGCATTACTTTCAATCATTAATATTTTAATTTAAATAAAAATTAACAAAATAGATATACATATATCATTATGCCTCTCTTTTATCAAAATCCTTTCATTTTAATAAACCTAAAAATAGACTCATTGTTCATATCCTGACACAATGGTCGAATAAGCATATAATGATTATCGAGATATTAAATTAGTATACACTTAATATTTGAATTAGTTTTAGATCATATTATATAAGTTTAAACTAAAAGATGTGAATAAAATTCAGTAAAATTAATAACAAATAAGCAATAAACAATTGGGATTATTTGCCATCTCTTGTAATGACAAATTATTTTGAATATATTTGTTAAATTCATGAATAAATTGAGGTAATTATCACATTGATTCTAATCTTTTTTATTAAGTTCTAGCACTATCCACAGTTCTAGCTGTATATAGTAGAATATCTGATTAATCATGTCTAATCGAGAGAATAAACTGATTTAATTCAAAGTTGTTCTTTTTGAGCTCAATTCGCACACATTCCTTGAGAAGGTAGAGAAACTTAATCAAGTAATTCATTTCCAAAAAATTGTCATATTCTACGCTATATTACTCATTCAATAATCTGTATCTTATTTGAAAATGTTCTTAGACCCACCAAACATCCACAGGAGTTAGATCCCCCATTTCGAAAGTCTTAATACATAATAACACTTCAATATAAGTCTTTTGTATATTTAATATAATACGATTAGGATGATTTTGCCTAAAATACTTCCAAATTTATTGAACTTCCTTAAAGATTATGTGTGAACATAATTGAAATGGTTAAGCAATTCATCTTGCTCTTGAGTTCTAGTCTTATTAGAATTTAGAAATTGCACTATTTCTCCAATTAAAGTTAGACTTAATCCTTTTTCAATGATTCGGCAAGAATTCAATTTAGTGTTGATAAGACTATCAATATCAGGGTGTGAATGCATAGGAACATTGTAGAAATACATAACCAACCGTAATAAAGGTTTTTCTCTTTGTAGAACTTTATTATTGCTTTGAGTACAAGTTCCCATTATTATTTAATTAAATAAAATAGTTCATGAAGGTTTGCTCATGAAAATACTCATAGAATGATTCATCTTTAAAGAACAAACAAAGCTAATCAGGCCCTAAACTTTTCATCCTCAAATTATAAAAAGTGATGTTCTTAATCAAAGAATAAAAACAGTACTCAAATATAAACTATAAAATAAAGAAAACATACTAATGAATGAATTTAAATACTATACAGATAGTAATTTCAAATGGCATTAGTCTATCATAAACAAATCATTCGCTCGAACATTTTAAAAAATAAAATTTTTATTAAGATAATAAGTTCTCATTAATAGGAACAAAATTGTGTAAAGGAATAGAATTGTTTGATAGAATTAAAGCAGAGATATGTTTTAAGAAGGGAAAGTTGCTAAACAATTAAGCAAATATTATCTTCAATTATTGTCATTTTGAAAAGATTGTCACAGGTGTTAGAATAAACCATAGAATCTGTCCTACAAGTATAAGCTCTTTGCTCAAAATATTGATATTGGTACTACAAGGGGAATTTATTCCAAATTCATAGTTACATAGGAATTATGAATCTCAAATAAAATTGCAAACCGAATCAAAGTCGGAAATTGAATGAGAAGGAATTGTTGACAGGATATGACATGATTTTGAAACTAGTGTTAAGCAACAGAAGAAAAAGCCTATAATATATATTAATATGGAATTAAATATTATGTATTATATTATATATTAACTTCACTAATAGATTTACCATATTCTTATAATTTTAATGTATTTAAATTGAGCTTGTTTTTGTTAAAATTAAGAGAGAATAATTTTTATCCAAAAGAGTATATTAATTACTTTTAGGAGGCTTTAAAAAGTGGATATTATATCATATTTGATTAAAGTGTTTCGACTAACAGGTCTTGATGGAGATATTTAGTAGAATTTTAGTAGAGAAGCAAAAACATCTGGTATAAAAAGTTAGACTTAGATTTGATGAAAAGATCTCATTTGAAGAATTTTCTCCATATGAAAAGATAAAGTGATACGATGAGGCGTACATACATCATTCATTTATTTAACAATATTATTAATTAATACTAAATTAAATAATCATTTATCTCTAAATTCGTCAAAAACTGCAAAACCTAAATTTAGAACTATTATATTTTATTCTATTTTTCAATGCTACTTACTTAAGTTCAACAGAGACATAATTCATTTGCTTCAGTATTTACACAACAACACAATATATCAAAAATAAATCCATCAATGTATTGTAATATAAATTTGAATACTTGATTGAGATTATATATAGCATATCAATAATTATTTTTAAATTAAAAGAAATTTATTGTTAAATAATTATAATAATTTAATGTTATTATGCTAAATTACTTAATTCTCTTAAATTTAATAGCATGAAACTTAAAAACACCTAAAATATTTTTTACTAATCAATGCTAAATTTGGATCATTAAATATTTTTATATATTATTATTATGTTTCTCTCAACATCGAATAATCTCAACACAGAATAACCTAATATACAAAGTATAAAGGGAATGATTAAGGTTGATTCCTAAAAGTGGTATAATTTATAAACATAAAACAAGTGAATTAAATGCCTACTATATTTAAAATAATGGATAGATTGATTTATAATAACAGCGATATGGTACATTATTTCATAAAACTGCCTCTAGAATCAGAATAGGTTGAAATTTTTTTCATAAAATATGCCTATTGAAAATAACCACAAAGTACAACATATCTTTAAAACTTGTGAGAATATCTCTAGATAATTGTAAAAATTAGAAGAGAACCATATTGATCATTTTAATTGAATGATTTAAAAAGTTGGTTTTAAAAATGAAATTGAAAATTTTGTCTAAAATTCAATGATAATATATGTTATTTTGAACTTGATATGCTGGGATATTTAATTTATGATACAATCTTAAAGAAGATATTAACAAAAATATTGATGAAGTGTATAGTGCTCTGAGCTATTTAGAAATATTTATAAAAAAGTAATATGAAAAAGTTAGATAAGATATTGACTTAAATTTATAGTTTCTCAAATCTGAGTTTATTTTTGTTGTTAAGGCTGATGGATGGTGTAGAATCACTTTTTAATTATTTGCTAAATCCATGCAGATTAGTGTATTTAATTAATAAAAAAAATGAATCTTATTTAAATTAAAAAGCACTATTTTTCAAATTTTGTTTTATAAATATAATAACATAAGATTCTTTTATTATGTCTAAATAAGAGGGTGTCTATGAGCAGCAAAAACAAGTTAGAAAATACTAAAAGATCAATAAAGAAGAAAGGAGAGTGGTACTAGAATTGCTTATCAAAGACAAACTATCCCTTTAAGAGGTATCAAACTTGCAAAAAATATCAACATCTCCTCCTAATATATATGATATTTTAAACATTATTTAATATAGGTAGCAAATAAACTAAAACTAAAATACTGTACAGTTCGCACAATTCAAAAAACATACGAAAAAGATGGTCGTATAGGGAAAAAGGAAAAAAGAAAGAAAAAGCTGAAGGTTTAGAATATCCTTAAAATATCGATAGTAAATCCATTCACTTTTTAATTATCACATCCTATTGTATCATCTGAAGTTAGCTAAGTAAATTTTAATATTATTTTATAGATATATATGGATAAGCAACCTACAGATGAAGACTAAGTAATGTTGGCAAAAGAATAACATTGTCTACTTCAATCCTAATGCTAGAAACTCTATCTCATACTAACTTAATAATTCTAAAAAGCTGTTGAAAATTCAAATCCACTTTATAAGACTACGCTCCAAAATTTATTGTAGGCATCCCAATTAGTAATAAGGTAACTTCTAGAAGTTAAACAATAAATTAATGTAAAACAAGAGCATGAACCTCCTTCTCCAAATCAAACTTAATATCCGTTTCCTATCTAACATAATCTATTTTAATCCTAATTCGGCTTTGTATTACCAAGAATCAACACTTGATTACATAATGTTAATGCTATTAAATAAAATAATTTATTTTTTATTAAATTAGTTGTAACAACTTTTTAAATTTATAAATATTTGCTCTCCATTTCCTCTAAATTGAACTGTAAAATTCACCCTAAACACTTTCTACCAAATTTTGAATATTCCTAAATCATTTACCACAAATTAAAAATATCAATCCTCTCATATCACTGTATTATTTAATATAATTAATTACTTAATTAAAATCAACCCATATTTCCCTAATAACACTTATAAAAATAAACTTGATCTCTCATTGTTCAAGTCTTCATTCAAGTAGGAAAATACAGTTTCAACTTTCCTTAAAACTTCGACTTTTAGGTAAAAATCACTTCTTAAACAATCCTTATTTACTTTATGTCATTCTTTTATATTCTTTTTTTTCCATCTTCTTTTCAATTACCCAAGCAAATATTGTCATGTATTAGAACTGCTGAACTTCATTAGAACTTACTCTTTATTCGCATTCCTCTTTGATTTTCACCCATAAAAAACGAATCTCTGTGGTTTTTTTAACATGTATAATATTAATATAATCTCAAGTTTTTCAACCATTTCTATTTGATCATTTCTTATTCATTTCATTAATACCAAATAATGTTAGAGGTTAGTGTATTTTAGAAATTTTCTTCAACAAAAGTAAAAACCATAATTTTGTTTTAGATTATTTATTTATACAACAATAATAACTAGAACTCAATAGAATAGATGAAAATTATTTAAAGTGTGTTTCTAATCATATACTCATAATAAATAATAAATTTCACTTTTTACTGAACCATTACGATAAAATAAAATATATATATAAGTGAAAATTCCTTTATTTGATTAACAATAGAGTTATTTCTAACATCTTTATCAGTATTTTGATACCTTACCAACATTGAGCAATTATACAAAGTTTAGAATCAGCTTGAGTAACCATGATAGATTAAAGGAAATTCATAATTTAGTTTTATTACTAGTAACTTAATAAAATATAATATGATGATCATATAAACGCATAATTTTTATTCTAAACATGGCACAAGGCAGGACTTTATGAATATTTAACAAAATTATTTCTTACAATATTTTTTAATTTAAAACAACATCATAGGCTTACAACAAAATACTCCATTATTAATCAGTTGTGACAATAAATAATTGTAGAATATATAGCCATCATGATTAATATATATATATTTATGTACTTATGTATTTTTAAGAATAAATGAATTAGATAAATTTATGAGAAATAATATATTATGGCTGGATTTTCTAAGATAAATCCCAGATTAAGGGTATATTATTATGAATTAGAATATTTTAAGTTCAAAAATTATATTTTATTTATGCACTTTAAATTTATAAAGAAAACTAGTTTTAAAGTAGTTTTGTTATTCCTAAACCAAATATTCTGATTATGACACAGCCTTCAATATGAAATAATAATTGATAACTGTTTTTGCTTCCTTTTATTTTATTTTGTGTATTTAATAGCGAAAATTGCTATTATTAAAATTTATAAAATCGAGAATGGTATTGCAACAAATTTTCAATATGCCACCTTTGACTGGAATTATTGTTTTCATTAGTGCAATATTAAGTTATGCTACCTATGTTTAGTATGTGAAACCTTCAAGCCTATATTTAAATTATAAATTAGCCTTTTCGGATTCATTCTAAGTAATTGGAAATATATTATGAATAGCCATGGAGGGCACTAACAAGCATTTTATATTTTGGAAATTTAAATTTAATAACAATAATGCGTCTATTTTTCTTGTAAATATAGAATATTGAGAAATAGTCAATCGATATCATCATCTTTAGAAATGCATACTTTTGCAGGTTTTGCAAACTATCTATATTATTTGTTATTGAATTTCATCGTTATTACGTTGTTGGGATTATGGATGAATGAGTATTCATTAACAGAATTTTTAATTGAAGCTCTGATGTATGTTTGGGGTAGGAAAAATGAATAAAGACCATTACTATGTAAACTTTTGCGTCTATTTAGTCTTATTTTTCATTCAAATCCAGGCATAATACATGGTTTGGTTTCTACTTTTCTTGAATCTGATAAGTGGAAAATCAATACAATCTAATTTGGTAGGAGTTATGATTGGACATACTTTTTATTACTTTGCTTTCATTGTTCCAAATTTACCAAGATTCAAAGGATTATAATTATTATCTACTCCAAAATTCTTGTAATATCTTATAATTATGATAGAATAAACATTTGTAAATACTTTGAGAGGTAGAATCAACTATAATGAATTGATAATAAGACTTTGATTTGTATTATAAATAATTAATGAAAAATATTAAATTTTCTTAAGATTACACTACTGATAGCTTGGGAATTTCCAGAACAACATTATCAAAGACCCAAATATCTCTAAATAAAGCTCTAAATTTAAAAGAATTACGTCAACCTTAAACAGACAGAACAGAGAGTAATCATCAAACTCCTCTTGCTCATTTACCTGAATTGAAGATGAAACAAACCAAATCTTAAAGGAAGATAGGATAACGCCTTACGAAAAAATGTACTAGATAAAGTGATTTCTTTAACGTTTATAAGGCTCCTGAAACCTTATAGACTAATTCTGATACCCTCAAAAAATAATCTCGGATCTACAAAATGACCTAATATATCATTCAATAATATAATGAAGACCTTAAAGCCATTAGAGATAGCTAAGACTACGATGAGGCTACTGCTGATCTGAAAGTATCAAGGTACTTAACAGAAGCATGGCTAAGCATAGAATAACTTATATAAAATTTAACTGGCTTACTAGCCTATAAATTTAATAGATAAGAGTGCGAATAATAAATGAAAGAGATACTACTCGATTGTTTTAAATAAAAGAACATTTGCGTACATCAACGAATTCTTTACATTTTTGGAAAAATAGAATAATTATTTTATAACCCTATATAAGGAGCCATTTATTTCAAAATCTGTAAAAGATTGTCAGATACTGATGCTCATTACAGTAATAAAATGAAGGCCTACAGAGGTTTGGGTGAATGTCTACTGAGAATCTATCCAAAACTAAGTCAATTGTACTTCACTAAATATTTGATGGCAGCTTGGAAACTCAAACAAAAGAATGATGAATTGCTTGCCTATGAATTGTTAGGAAAGTACTATTTTTATGTTGGATAAATCGAAAAAGCAAAACTTTTTCATGAAAGAATGATTAATGGCAATTGTGAGGTAATCTCTATTCTGTTATTAGGATGAAAATTCAAGAGTCCGATTGCTAGCCTTGAGTCGATTGGAATAAGGGAGTCTATCAAATAAAATAAACAAAGACCATCTAATTGTCGATATAGAATAGGTATCTTCTGATGATGAATGCTATGAAATTGTATTTCCTTAAAAGTCAGACAATATTCAGCAGAAATATTATGTTGAAAAATACTTTCAAAAGAAAATACCAGACATTAAGATAATTAAGGATGAAGCAAACTTAAATATTCGATAAACTGAAAGGAAATACAATTCTTAATTTCTCGTTAATGAAAATTTTGAACCGTTCAGAGTCATTGTTTCTAATCCTCATCAAAGCATAGGTTCAATTAAGGATAAAGTTTTGATGAGCCATATGACACCTAATAGAAAATTGGAAATGTACTAATACATAGCTTTGGCCAGTGATAAGACTGGGTTTAATAACTCCCCAAGATATGAAGGCCTATATAATAAGTATGAAGGGATCAAATTTAATAAAATTATAAACAGAACTATTGAATAATTCAATAATATCCAATAATGGATAGTTTCTTAGGAAAAGACTCCTACCTTACCCTAACCACCAATAAGACGAAAGGGCTACTTTTTAGTCTGATGATATATGTTTATTTAATACTATATTTATTATTTTAGTGCTTTAATAACATTTGCTTTATAAATAGAATGTAATTAACCTATACCTTTATAATTTTATAACAAGAAAGAGTTTGTAAAATAGTATATATAACTTAGAAAAAAACGGAGTATAATAAAAATGAGTTAGAATTAGAAATTTTGAACTTGTTTCTTATATCCTATAGGTTTGTGATTAGATTTTACTTCCAAATAATAAATCTATAATAATAATATCATTGTTATTCTGCTATCATCTATTCTATTTTCTTTCTCTCCTCTTCAGTATCCTCATCTTGAGGTTTTTCTACATTCTCACCTATTTATCCATCAGAAATCTGATAATTTTCTGGGAAATAAACTTTTAGATCCTTAATTTCATTACACAATGCTATCTTAGATTTTGTTTTTTCACTTAAAAATGGTCTTACAACAGTCATAATAGATTTAACTAAAAAATTTGGATAAAGAATAAATAATTGATGTAGTCTCTCTGCATAATTATCTTAAACCAAAGTGACCATTTTCTTCATTATAGTAAACATAGATGAATCAAAATTTTTTGATGTAACACCTTCTCTATCCCAAATCACGCTAATCTTACCAGTACCAGCTTAATCAGCTTTCTATATTCCTTAATCAATCATATATAAAAAAAACCTGATTAATGTCTCAGGATTGCTTTGACCAGGAAAATGTCTCTTTGCCTTCACAACCAAACATGGATTACCTAATTTATCAGATCCATTCCAAAAGGCTTTGTTTAAATTTATTTCCTATTGAATTTCTTCAATCTTGATATCATCTGCTCTATACTGTTTTCTCCATTCAACCCATCTTTTCCATTAATCAAATGAATCATTGACCTTCCATTCTCTAGCAATCAACAATCTAATTAAGTGATCTTCATTAGAATATTTTTAGACTAAATCCTCTCTTACTAATTTTGGGACTTCTACTTTAACTCTCTCTTGCAAGGATATCAATTTTTAAGGTTGATCCCCAGTTAATATTATCTTATTCTTTGGTTAATCCATTCTCTTAATAGATTTATATTATTTGCAATAATTAAATAATTAATATTTAGGTTTTATTTTATAAAGATATAAAGTCTAAAGTTCAACTTCTGAAAGTGCTTTCCTCTGTTATAACTTAAAATTTTTGGAATGTATTCTAAATACTATCCATGTAATATTTTGGTTTAATCTCACTTTAGCTGTCATTTAAATGATATCTAAATATTTAACAAATATTGTACATATCATCTTTTGGAGAATTTGTGAATTCATTTGTAATAATTTCTTCTTGAACTTCTTTTTTTTTACTTTGTTTAGGAACACTATCTTAGTCGATTTTATAAAGCAAAGTTTATAAATTTTAAATTTCGAAGTGTTGATTAAGAATTGTCTTTTATTAAGACTCAATTTGTTTCTTTTGTATTTGAACAACCTGCTTTAATTTTGTGATTTCCTTAGTATTGAGATTATCAGAATACGCTGTTTTTAACTACTTTTCATTCAATTAATTAGAATTGCATTAAATATTATCAAATTAATGATCTAATCTCTATTATTGATCAAAATTCTATAAGGAATCCATCACTTCATTTTATAATGAGAGCTTTCTATTTCTAATATCCTTATCAACTCTATTGCTTATATTCGTTTTTACTCTTTCAGTTGATTATTAATAAAATAATTCATTTACAAATTGATTTAGTTCTGATATTTACTTCTGTAAAGAATTTTCTGTCTATTAAAACTATTTTTTTTAGAGATCTATTTAATCTTTTAGACAATTTATTTAATCCTATTGATTTGTTTGAGGGGCATTAGGTTGATTTTCTTTATCAACTTTAGTTTTAGTATATGATCCCTATTTAATGATACTTAATAATTATTGATTTTCTGATTTATAAAACATTATTAGTTTATCATTTTTTACATTTTAATTTTTAAGTTCATGTAGTTCATTGTTATAATCACTATTTGAGTTTGATAATTATTCACACATTTTTTCAATGGTTTAATTTAATTATTAAACGTCTTTTTCTAGTTAGGAGATTAAGATCTACTAGTTGGCATTTTGAAATTATAATTAAGAGATATTTTTATTTAAATCCGCAATGATTTATGTTTTTAATTAGATCTCATTTTTGAGTTGGATTTCTTCCGATTTACTTGTAACATAAATGGAAGAAATATTTTGAATAGAGTCAATAATTTTAGTGTTCTCTGTTGTTGATAAATGATTCATAGAGTTATTTTTTGAATGCTTAATAGATTCAATTTTATTTCCTGAGGTTTTCAATTTCTCATTCTTCTAAAACTATTTGGGTAAACTACTAGCTTTAGATACCAACATTAGATTACTTTGTACCTTTTTCACTTGTGATGCGTCTTAGATTGTAGTTGAAATAAGTGGTTCTTATCTCTTAATAATTTTAGAGGGAATCATTAACGATAATTTATATTTTTAATATAAATAAATATGAATGATGATTATCCAAAGAGAAAGCTCAAAAGAGGTGGAAATGGTTTCAATTTATGGATAAACAGCTTAGCGATAAGCACAAGATGTGGACATTAACGTAGTCTAAGGAAAACATGATTAATATATTATAAATAATTTAAAGGATTTCTTTGATATAAATAATTTAATTATTTTTTTTAAACATTTTAAGCAAATTAGAAGTAACAAAATGGACAACGAAGAAAATGAGCAATAAGATATTTCAGTAGGTGTGTTATAAATAATGCATTTGTTCGCTATATATACCATTATATATTAATTTTAATTCCTATTTTATCTATAGTTTATAACCAATTAAATAAGAAAGATATTGGATTCAGACCCAAAAAGCTAACAATTTCAAGAGATTTACAAGTATTAATATATTAAAAATCATTTAGAGTTAAGCTTGTGATATTTGTGCAGTTGGATTCGAAAGCAGATTTTAATAATAAGAAAGAGGTAAACATAGAAAAATAATAGTTATAAAGGAATGACAATAATATCCTGTTATGGATGTTAATTAAGTTGTCACTTGTATTGTTATGGTATTTCCACTGAAATAGAGTTGAATCCCAATTCTAATAATTAAGGATATTTTGCATGTGATAAATGCAAATATAGTCAGAAGCAAGATCAAATATGCGTTGTTTGTAATCAAAAAGGTGGTTTAAAGAAGAGAATTAATAATACCAATGAATTTGTTCATCCTCTTTGCGGATTATTATCCAAACAACTTGAATTAACTTCATTTATGGAAATGAAATTCAAGAAGCCCAATAACATAATATAAGTTGCTAAATCAATATGTTCATATTGCAAATCTTAAGGAGCCACAATTAAATGCTAATAATCAGGATGCAATACTTATGCTCACATATATTGTATTGTTAATTACATCGCAAATTATGGTGGATACAATTTAACATACTCAGAAAACTTATAAAGATCAACAGGATGGGAAATCTAATTTAATTATAAATAATTGTTCTGCCCTGGTAACCTTGTTTAAGCAGGAAATGATAAAACTCAATTAAAAATTAAATCCTAATCTATTTTCTAGTAATTTATGGAAATTTAGAAAGTTGATAAGTAAATTAATCTAGATTAACTCTATGATATGTATTAATAATAAGAAAAAATAGAAGAAGAAAAAGAGTATTTATTTATGTTATACTAGACAATTGATGGAATTCTTTTGTTCTCCTCATTAGAATTAATAGATTTATTGTTGTTGTCAATAGTAATTGGCTAATGATTCCGAAGAAATGGTTCAATGTGAAACCTGTATGGAATGGTATCATGATAAGTGTTTACGTCAATATCAAGATGATTATGAAGAATAGAAGAATAAAGATCATTATTTCTGTCCTTTTTGTAATCAATGGAGCAATAATCGTTTTGATCATATTCTTAAATATGTTCCAGTTAATAATTTAAAGTCCTTATTGCCTTCCTTTTTAAAAATGACATTCAATACTCTTATCATTTTAGGCATCTATTGTGAAAGAAGTCTGACAACATAGATTTCATCATGTAAAGTTATATATAATTTAATAGATTCTGAATCTTAATACACAATTATAGAAACAATCTTGAGTAATTTACCGTTTTATTAACCCTTACAATAGCAATTATCTTAAATTAAGCAAAAATCAAATGTTACTGATTTTATGAATTTCCTTTTTAAATCATAGATAGCTTATAAAGATGATAATCAATGGTTTATTTTATCATAATTAAATGAATCTAATCAACCTATTTAGCAGAATATAATATATAATAACGAATTAAAGGATAAATTAAATTCAGTTATCAATTTATTTAAAGATTTTGATGAGTGCAAATTTTATATTGAATTGTTGGATAAATTGAATAATCTACAATTAGCCTTTTAAATTATTACATCCGGAACTAAAATAACTAAGAATACTATATAAAATCAATTTAAATCAAATGAATTTTAAGAATACATATTTTTGTAATAATAGGTTAAGGAGTATAAAAGAGTCAAGAAAAGATTTATTAGCAAATTGTAAGAAGCTGAAGATAAATTCTGTGATTTTGAATAGATCATGAATGAAGAGGTATAGGAATAGGATTCTTCTGAAGAGGAGGATGATGTAGAAGATGAACTAGAGGATTATGAAAAACTACAGAGCTATTTAGGTTTTAAAATATTTTAAATTAAAAATTACTAATAATTTTATAATCTCACTTCTGAAACAAGAATCAAATTAAATTAGATTAAATTGAGTAAGGAATTTGTTGAAAAAACAATTCAAGAATTAAATTCATTGTTAATTACAGTTCCCTGGGTAGAAATCTTAAAACAAGAATTGTAAGAAGGATATCTCATTGTGTAATAGTTAGAAAATGCTAAATCATCGGATGAAATATAGTTATTGTTAAATAAGCTTGAAGAATTACCTTTCCATTATAAAGATTTTCCAGAGTTTTATGAATTTATATCCAAATACTAATTATATTAGAGATATATGCAAGATTTGGAATTGCAAGAAAAGGATGAAGATGACAGTGAAATCTAAGTTACTAAAGATATTCAGACAAAGATCACATGCGATCATCTTTAAATGCTGAAATAATTATCTATTGAAATCAAGGCTCCTGAGAAAGACAAATAGGTATTGGAGTAGGTGGAGAAGTAGTTAAATGAATTTAGATAGAGATTGAGAGGTATGATTGAACAGAAGAGTTTGAATGAACAAATGAGAAAGAAGTTTTAATCTGAACTATAAATTAATAAGATTTATGATGTCCCTGAAATCTATGAATTATAGAAAAGACTAGAACAATTTTAAGAGGTTGAAAAAATTAGAATGGCTAAATCTTAAACTCTTCAACAACTCGAGCATGCTTTAGAAAAATCTAAAGAATTCAATTTTGATGAAAAGATTATTAATCAATTTGATTAGGATATAACTAAATGCTTATTGAAAAAGAAAGAAATTAAAGCTTTGTTGGAGAATGAAATATTTGAAACTGAATAATTAGATTAGGCTAAATAATTACTCTAAGATATTTCTTAAAGTAAGGTAATTTATGAGGAGAAATAATTATTATAGAGTTTGAATAAAGCTTGCTAATTTATTTAATAATTATATGAATTTTATTAAAAATATAAATCTCCAGATTAGGAAATGGAAATTGAAGATGATAAAAATCCAGACTTATAATTTAAAATTAATTAAGTTTGCAATCCCTTTTAAATTCTATTTAAAGATGATAATGAAACTATCATACTAGAATTAGAAAATATTTTAAGCAAATAATCAATCATACTTGACAAAAGAATAAATACTGTTTTAAATAATTATTAGCATTTTCTTTGGGAAAAACAAACCAAATTATTGTTATCCTTCTGCGAATCCAAATAAGAAATGCAAATATAATTAATAGAAGCAGTACTTTCGAAGTCATTCACTTTGGATGAAAATGAATAAGCAAAATTAATTGATTTTTCAGAGATGTTCTATAATCAATAAAAAATTGTTATTTCTTTAAGTACCTAAATTGGAAACTATTTATTTCAAGTGCCTCTTCCCCAAGAATTAGAAGGATGGTTCTACTTATATGGCTAAGTAACTCTTAATATAAAAGGAGGAATCTGGGACCAAATGAAAATATATAATGTTTGGGTTACGATTGTAAAGAAGTATTTTGAAATTACAACAACACCAGAGTTTACATATGAAAGTCTAAAATTATTATAGGATGTTATTGTTATGTCACATATTCCTAAATAAGCATTGATTTGCGCAAATTTGGTCCAAAAAATAGCTTGTTTCAATGCCCTGGTTGATAAAATGAAAGATTATAACATAAGAAAATAGATATTCCTAGAAAAGAAGAAGTCAAAATAAGATTTATAAAAATTCAAATAATGCTTTACAATTGCAGAAGCCAGATTATTGGATTAAGAGATCAAAACATGTAACATAGCGCATGACTTTATTTCGAAAGATTTCTATCAAGATTTTCAAAATCTTCATTAAATTTAAGAAGAATTTAGCAATTGTTCTTCTGAGGATATCTCTGCCCTTACAACTTTGTATTAGAGATTGATTTAATCATTTATTTAAGATTAATAATTAATGGAAGATTTGAAGATAAATATCTATTTATTGAAACTAAAAGAAATATTAAAAGGGAATAAATTAGTTGAATTATACAAAGCCAAAAAGCAATACAATAGCCTAATGTAATTGTTGCAATCTCGTAATTTGTAAATCCCAAATTTCATAATTGAATTAAATACTTTATTAAATATTGCTGAAAGAATTTAAAATATAGCAAATAAGATCAAAAATAATCAACCCTATACATTTGAAGAATTATAATAATCTATACAAGATATAGATAAGATTCAAAATATCAATATTGAGAGATCGTAAGATGTTGAGATTAGATATCATGAATGCCTTTAAATCTAAAATGAAATTCAAGAGATTGTTCAATCTCAAATTAAAACAAAGGAAGTTGTAGTTCAAAATATATTAGAAAAATTATAGAACTTACCTCTACCAGAAGAGAAGCAATTAGTGTAATCTTGGTTGAATTCTTTCGAATAACTGAAGTAAAGTTATTCCACATTAAGATAAACAATCTCAAAATAAAAAACAAATCCTAATAGTAAAGAATTGACTGATTTGATGAATAACTTTTAAAAGAAATACAAAGACATAATGATAATATATTCTGATGCTGATCATTTTATTAGAGAATACTAGGAATTTAATAAGAAATTAGAATATATTGAAAATAATTTATAAACTGAATAGTCATTCAATGATTTTCATGATTTACTCAGCATATTTAGATGGGGGGATTAATATGAAAGAGTCAAAATTGCTATTTGGATTAAATAAGTCAATCAATTCAAGGAAAACCCATAATAAAAATGGGGATTTGCTTCGTTTAGAAATATGTTGAATCAAGGTTATGATATAATTGATTAAGCTTTAATGAATAATTAAAAGTTATCAATCGAAAAAATGAAGGTTCCATTAACTTATTTAGAATCAATCATGACTAAATTGATTGATTCAGTTGCAAGTGGATCATATTTAGATCCAAGTGGCGAAGGAAAAGTTGATGCTTTTTAATTGTAAATTGAACTTTAACATATTACTCAACATGATAAATTAGAAAGGTTAAGAGAATTGCAACCAAAAAAACCATTTGAAGACATAAATTCATACTTTGATAAGAAATAAAAATAATAATATATGCGAAAGAAGAATCAATAGAGAGAGGAGAAAGAGGAACAAAATAATTAAGTTGACAGCATTAAGAAAGTCAAAAAATAGTAAACTAATGAAACGGTTACTTAATAATTAAGAGATGCAAAGAAAAAAGAATTATTATAAGTTATTTGGAGAAATCCAACATTATCAAATTTGAAGAATTAGGAATTCTATTAAGGCAAAATAAAGATTTTTGAAAATTAAGAGTTTGGCACTTTCAATACAAACAAGTCAAGTATTTATTATTATTTTATAATTTAGTGTATTTGGAGAGAATGGCAATACTCATTTAAACCTTTAAAGAATTGCAATAATTACCTAATTTTTCAAAAAGAATTGTTGAAAAAGGATTCAATATAGAATAGGTTAATTATGCAGTAAGAAAATATGAAACCAAGGCTCTTTTATAGATAGAAGAAAAGTTGATGTAAAGACCGAATCCATCATCTTCATAATAATAAGATTACAACCCTCTAGCTCCAAATAAAAATAAAATAGTTGCTATTCAGCCAGTTAATTAGAAAAATGCTTAACCTGTTGTTAAATAAGTGTAATCTAATTAAACACAATCTAAATTAACTAAGGAAGATGTTCTTAATTAAATTTTGAATGATTCATATCCTAACAATAAATTATAATAATAGCAACTATAGTAATAATAATAAATCTAATCTCAATCCAAATCATTGTAGTTATAATAACAATAGCCTTAAACATTTTATAAATAATAATAATTATAGCCTTAAATTATATAATTGTAATAAAAATCATTATAATAATAATAGTAGCCACCATAATAGTAACAATAATTATAATCATCTATTTTTGATAATACTTATTCTGATTAGATCAAATAAACCTTTCAATATCAATCACAATAATCACTCTAATCATCATAATCATAACTTTAATAATAATCCTCGAAATCGTTGCTTTCTCCAAGCAGATCTATAAGTAAAGGAGTTAATGAATCCATTTCGTCTGATTTACCAGAATTGGAAGTTTTGAAAATGGAAAATCCAAATAAACCCATTTTGTATAATCCAGATGATGATGAACCAGACTAAAAAGTAATTGTATAAAAAATTGAAGTATATCAATTGATTATTTTAGGTGACTCCACTTAACTTTGGAGATAAAATCTTAAAAATAGGAAAGAGATATAGATTTAATATAAAAGATTAATAAGTATCTTGTGAATTTTACACTAATTCTTTGGATAATAAATTGAAAGAATTTCCTAAGTTTTCCAGTGAATTTAAACATTAAAAATTTTAACAATAAGATACAACATTACAATAGATGGAAAGATTAGCGAATAAAAACATGTAAATAATTTTAGCAGGATGGGTGGTTCCAGAAAAATACACTGAGTTTGGTGATATTCTAAAGTTTAGTGAAATGTTAAGAAAAGATTAATCTTTCATATCATTTCCTTTAAGTGATTCATTTTATACTGTTGTATATTTAATGCATTACGATTAATTGTAAAACTCATAATTATTTGCAAATTTCAAATTGACAGAATTTGTATCTGAATCACATTACTTAAAAAGAGACTTAGGAATCATTAAATTTTGGGGGAATTTGATCCCTAAATTATGCTTTGTAATAACTATAAAATAATAAACTGCAGCAATGATGTTGAGTAGTTTTAATCCTTTGCAGTACGATACAGCAAAGAATGTATTTAAGGTATTGGTTTTTCAATAATTATTAGTCTAAAGAGTTTTGCAAATGGGTTGAAGGTAAAATAAGTGAAGAGAAAGCAAGTAAGAAATTATAACAATCACAATAATTATTGTAATAGCAATAATAATAATAATAACAATAGCAACAGTAATAATAATAGCAATAATAATAATAATAAAAGTAATAATCGTAGTAATAATAATCATAATAGCAATAATAAATATAAACAGAATTAGAACCTGTGACTTCTGAAGAGGAAGACAATAATCAAATTAATAGTTAAAATGGTTAAAGCCATTTATTTGGTAATCCAAATTCCGAGGTAAGGGATAAGTTTATAAAAGTAGGAAAATGGATATGAATAATTGCTTGCGTTGTTACAATCAGATAAACAAATTATGGGGGAGCTATTTAAAAATAACAATATAGGATGAATTTGAATATTTTATAGAAAAATGAGATTATAATTAATTCGTTTTTAATATCAATGTGTGTCGGTGACATATTAGGAATGTGCCTTGGTCCAATAGCAACGTGCACCAAATATCTATGTGGTGCTCTAGGACTGGGATTGGTATTTACAGCAGGGGCAGTTGGAATAGATTTGACGGCAGATTGGCCAATTATATTAATAATTCTTGCATCAATATTAGCATTAATATGGTGTATAATGGCATACTTTGGGGGATTATAAGAAAGAGAGGATGAACCTTAACATTTAGCAAAATAATTTGAATTGATATGTGAAACTTAAGAAATAGTGAGACAATATGAAGTATTCAATTAAATAATAATAGGTAAGGCATAACTACGCTAGTGAATTGGCTGATGGGTGCATTCAGATATCAAATACAATAATAGGAATGTTCTTTACATAATTGATATACGCACTAATCTTATTGATTTTGTTTCTGTTGGCAACTGTATCAATATGAAAATATTTATGTAGATCTGGTTCATTCCAGTTGGAACTAAAGCAGGATTCATAGTAGGTTTATTTTTTGGATTTGTATCAATAACAATAATTGCTTGGACAGCATACACATTTGCAGGTCGATCTATATGTAAGGTGATAACAACTGCAATTTAAAATAAATGGGAGCTATATGATTTCATGTATACTGTAGGATTTGGTGTGGTTCTGATGTGCATAGCATCCATCTATTTCATTTTCTTAATATTATTCTTTTTATTTAGAAGTTTGTAAGGATTAAGCAATGATAACAAACCACAAGATAAATTACAGTTGATGGGTGTTTGCTGCTGTGGCTATGCTTTGGGAATAATAGTTTGCGCATTTATATATAGAGAATCAACCAGCATTTTGGGTAGAAGTATATTTAATGCCATTGATGGATTGGTGAAATGCGATAGAAACCTAAGTTTCAATAACCCCTATATTTCATCACCCACTAAATTATTATATGTGATTTCAAATATAATCAGTACATAAGTAGTAAATTTGTTGGACTCAGCTATATGCATAGCAGTATTAACAGTTGGAGGATTTTTAATATTCTCTAATTCTGAAGAAGTAGCGAAAGAAAATATTACTTGGAAATCATTGTTGGCTCCAACATTGTACTTTTGTGTAAATGTCTTTTGTGCAGTGATAGTATAGACATTGAAGAGTATGATTTGGGATAATGAAGTAGTGAGATTCACTAAATTGAACATCAGGCAATAAGTGTTGATTACTCATTTAATGACATTATTAATCTTCTTTTTCATGCCTATGGTTACAATCTTAAAGTAGTTTTCTTTAAAAGGAGTTGAAGCACCTGCAACATTGGCTAAGGAAGACATTACAATTAGAAAGATCACTTATTGTTGTATTTTGGGTCAATTAAGCAATTTAGTATTATTAACAATAGGAGAATGGATGACATCGCATGGTTGCCAACCAGTTAGAAATTTGGTACATATTTTAATTTATTAAGAGGCATTATCATCATCTGAAAGAATATTAACACAATCATACAATTATGCAACATTTCTTAGTGCTTCTGGTCAAATAATTATTGTATTAACCTTAGGAATAATAGCAACAGCTGCACACGCATTAGCTGGATACGCAGGCATTTTAGCAGCTGCTGCTGGGTTCTTAATCAATGTATTGATAATAGTTCCTCTTTATTACATTGGATCTATCTCTTAAGATGGTGCTAAACTATGTGTTGCATCTCATGTTACCTAAGTCGTATCTGAGAGATTTACCAAAATGGCTTGGGCAGCTAGAAATTATATGATCTACCTAAAAGTCACAAATGCTGGTTCAGCCATTTTATTAGCATTAACCTTCCTTGGAGGAGCACTTTATCTATTTAAAGTCGACAATAATCCATTGATAGATTTTAATGGTATTTTTGGAATTCTCTTTGGAATTGGATTGGCATTCCTTGTCAAGGGTATGACTGTTGGTTCTGTGATATCAATATCTAGAATATTTGATCTTAATATTTATGAGAGTGGAATTGCTGCAGAAATAGCAAAGAGAAATACTATCACATTAAATAGATATTTTGATAGTAAACATTTACTGGCAATCATTTGGGTCTTCATCATTACAATTACTGACACAATACTATTATTTATTTTTGCATATTTCTTTGGCAAAAGAGGAACGCCAGGATTTCTTTTAGGACATACAATTATTATACTATTTTTGATGTGTTATTCAATTATTAACGGAACTGTTATGAAATAAAGCCGTTATTACAATGAAGGTATACTATCAATCACTAATTTCAAGTTGATGATAAATTATCAAAAAGAGGAAAAATTTATTAATCCTGTGTTTAAGGAGATATGCTAGCTACTGTTGTTGAAGAAAGCACAGCAATTCCTCTTATTGTTTACTTATTATATAACACCATTCTTGTTACGTGTGCCTATCCATTCTTTGGAGGTGAAGGGTATATATATTTATTATATTATTTAGAGATTTGTTTGTGGAAAAAGCAACAGAAACTAAGTTTTTCTGAAAAATAATAAATAGAAGAAAATCAAAATCATTATTATTAATTAATTCTTTTTATCAAGCCTAAGATTTCTATTAACATTTTTTGCTAAATCACTCATCTCTTCCTTATTTCTATCTATTAATTTTGTTAATTTTTGCATTTAAATTATTTAGTTTTTTTAATTATTCTACTATTCTGTCATAATTAGCCACTCCTTCATCTCTACTCAAATCTACTTTGGTCATTTAATTGAAACACTTTATTGTTAGAATCAATTCTTTACGTCTTTATATATATGAATGATTTATAAGAAAACATCATTCCTGACTTTATAGGCGATAAATCTTTAGACTCTATTAAAAGTTTTCGCTTCTCAAATAATTAAGGCAGATATTAAATTGGTATTGTTTTATTATTAAAAATGAGAATACAATGTTAATGCCGCAATTTCAAATTTCTATTCATTAAATTTAAATATTATTATTGTTAAGAACTCTATTTATTTTATCGTTAATTTATGAATAACGATTTATGCCTCTTGATTAGACAAGTCAGAATGCCGATGAGAATACAAATCCCTAAGCAGAAGAAATAACCTGTATTTCACAAAAAAAGCCTACACTATCCCAGACAAAATTTACTCTGATAAAGAAATCATGGAATTGTATTTTTGCTAAGCTAATTTAGATATTATAAAAAATTTATTAAGGTCGATATTGATGATTCCATTGCTCTAGAAATAATACAAACAGATGACTTTATTAATTGTAATATCAATATCAAATTAGGGACGTTAAATACAAAATGATGACGATTTAATCTTTAGAAGAAATTAATTAGATTATCATTAATAAACTATGGGATGATTTCTAATTGCTATCCTTAGAATGCAAAATGAAATAAATCAGGCAAAAGATGAATGATACATTAAATAATTTTACAAGTAATTGTTAGATTCTATAATAAAAACTGAAGTAATTATGAATTATTTTACATTTTACATATGAAATATTTATTCTAAATGAAAACTCTAATTTTAGCAATCATATTTTATTTTAAAACAACGTTGTAAATATCAATACATAGGAAGATCTTCATTAAAAAAAGTCTCATTTTATTAATACATCCATTATATTTCTGACCTTGAAATGCTATTAATTACAGTATACTTTTACATTTCTGTTCTGATTATATGATTTCCACTTTAGGTTTCTCACTAATTCTTGTAATATCCATTTTAGAGCTATTTCATAAATAAACAATTTATAATATTTCTTACTCAAAGTTAATGTTCACATTATCAACTTCCATTTTGACAAATACTCTCTAATCCTCATTATAACTAAGATTTAATCTTAATCCATAGTTAAATCCAATTCTTTTTCTAAATTATTGTTTAATAACTTTTATTAATTCAGCTCTGATATTATTTCTTCTATTTGAGATTTTTCCTTAGAAGCTCAACATATTCTCATTAGATTTTATCATTTGATGGTAAGCTAATAATCAATAATTAAATTCCATTTTCCATATTGCTACTTTAAAAAAAAGCAAAATGGAGTCAACTCTTTATACATAATGTTAATTCCATTTTTTTCATATTTTATCAAACTTATTCTGATTTATGAAAGGGGGAAGTGATAGTAAAAACTGATTATAAGAGAAGAAATTCTCAGATCTTTAACTTTTATGATAGAATTATTATATAGCATAATAAATTGGTGTGATTTTGTGTTCTAATCAATAGAAGATGGGACTAAATTTTTGAAATAATTTGGTTGAATTATAAAGATGGATAATTATTAAACTCTACCGTTCCAAAATACACTTCCTATTATTCAAAATTCTCTTAAATTGTCACCATTTCAAAGAATAATTAAGATAAGCTGAAGAGCCATCAAATAAGAATCGAAATTGATATTTGCTAAGTCATTTAGTATGTTTTTCTTAATTCTTTTTCTTTGTTAAAAAAATATTAACACCAGTCTTGCAGTGGTTAATGATATAAGAAAAATTCTTCATTGATGATAATTTCTTTTCTGAAAGACCATTATTGACTATCCATTATTTTATCATTTTTAAATTCATTAAAAATATAAAAAAATGTTACAAAAAGCACTTAAAGCTTTTTCAAGAGTTTCAGCCAAAATTGATTACACCAAGGACTACTATAAAATATTAAAGCTTCCTCCTTAGGCTGACCAATCCTAAATTCGAATCCATTACTATCAATTAGCGAAGAAGTACCATCCAGATTCATAAACACCAAACAGTGAAAAATATTAAAATGTATAAGAGGCATTCAGAGTAATATATTCAAAATTTTATATCAATAGATTTTATCTGATTTAGAATATAGGCAAAAATACGACTAAAAACGAGTAGTCAATTCAGATACAGCAAGGTAAACTGATTAAAAAGAGAAAAATGATAATAATACACATGTAGGATATTTTGACTAGATGAGCTAATAATAATTTGAGAAGAAAGATGATGACATATGGAAATTAAAGATTACTGTTAAATAAGGATAAATTCAACATAATTACTATTTTAGTGAAACAGAATTAAAGGAAAAATCAATTAACTGCTCAGAGTTTGAGAAAGTCACTTCTGATTTAATTACTAATCTCAAATTGAATCAAGCATCAATTGAAGAATATAAAAATTCATCCTTCTCTTCAACCTCCGTTTTGAAAAAAGTGGCTGAAATAGCATTTTTAATAATGGCAATCTTTGTTTCAAAAAAGAAATGAGGTATATATTACACATTAGAGTACATATATTTACTTACTTATGACTATTCTACTTCATATAGAAGTATATTATTGTTTTCAATTTTGATTTTTCATTAAATTTAAAGACAATTCTTATTCATATTTTTGAAATACACTCTTACCGAAAATAAATCTATAAAATTTTCTTAATTTCAAGCTCATCACACATTACATTAACAATAGATTACCCTTACAATCAAATTGTGATGGAAAATAATTTGAAAATTTGATTTTTGTTTGGTCTTTATAAAATTGGAGGTTTGCCAATAAGGAATCACTAAATTATTTAATCAAAATTCTGGTATTTTGCAATAAAAGGTAACTATTCTAATTGATGAAAAATAGGGCTTAAGTTATGTATAATTAAACACAATAATAAAAAAATGATATCATAAATTTGAAATTCCTCCTTATCTGTTAAATAATGCATATTGATTCGATGGAATTTATAGAATAAATATGAAAGATATATGATTAATTTCATTAATATATATAAATGAAATTTAATAAATTAAAATTATATTTTTAGGAATAATGATTTTAGAAGGATATGAATAAGAAATTTCTCAATGGATTTAATTTTTTTTATATACTTTTCAATTCAATTCGAAATGGATATATGATTAAATTTAATAATCTATTATGGATTGAATTACTTAAGATATTTCATAGCCTAAATATAATTAATATTACATTAATATATAAATATAAAGATTTATTAATGTTGATTAGGTTAAACAAAAGTTAGTATGATTACTTGTTATTATTTGAAATTTGATTTTAATCACAGATTTTTCTGAATAGAATTCAAATTTATAAAAAATATCATGTCTTGCTATTCTCGACTTTAAACAACAAGATTATTATAATTTTTTGAATATTCATTTACAACATGTATTACTATACTATATTTCTATAATAAAACTCAATGTTTTAAATCATCTCATTGTTAAAAGAATTACTTTGCGAAGTAAATATCTATGTTACAGTTAGTATAGATCTTCTAATATATTAAAGGAAATATAAAAAATATAAGGACCACCAAGAACAATATAATAAATTTGTAATTTTATTAAGTTTGTGGTAAAAAAAGATTATTCAAAACTAATAAAATAGTATATAACAGTATATAATTCAACCAATATAATGATACTTTCTACTAAATTTCAAAAGCCTAGAATTACTTTAAGAAAATCTCAAATTATATCATATGTTAGTATGTTGAATACAATAAGTAAATTTGAAATATCTCGAAAATCTTCTCAAAGACAAGCATAAATTAATAATTCAAATGAAAATAGTTAATGTGAATATATTTCTAATTTGGATGCTTGCCTATCTAACTTGTGTTAAAGGTTAATGTAATGAAATAACAGATCAAAGGTAGTGTAATGAAAATGAACAATGCGAATGGGATTATTGGTCACCTTCAAAATGTCAAAACATTTGCAATCAATTGAAGAATCAAAATGAATGCAACTTTGCAGCAAACTGTAAGTGGGTAGCAAGTTCATCCTCATGTTTCATCAGAAAATGCACAGAAGAATTGTAATAGGATAGATGTTGTCAAATAGTATTTACTACAATAAATTAGGTTGCTTGTTCTTGGAGAAATAACTAATGTTGGGACTCATCATGTGTTACATTGTAGGCTAGCGAGGCTGGTAAATGTGCCAATTCATACTGCATTTGGGATCAGAAAAGAAAGCTTTGCTATGATAAAAAATGCTCAGACTATTCTAATTAATATGATTGTGATCAAATATCATTTTGTAGTTGGTTTAAATACAAATGCATAGACGATGGTAATAACAAGATTGATTATCAAAATGGTGAAGAATAATGTTGATCTAAAATCTAATTATTGTTATAAAAGAGGTTGAATATGTTTTTGATTTTACATATATTTCTCTATCCAACCAATCCAATTTTAATTTTCAATAATTATTAATTTTTGTGTAATTATTTCTGCCTATTATTAATCATATTCTCAAAGTTAAGATTATTTCTTTTGGGTTTTTATCAAACGTCCTGATTAATCAAAGCATATTTCAATGTATTCTAATGAGAATGAGAGTGTAATTAATAATAATGGTTATTCTTGAATAATTATTAATCAATTTATTTGTATATTCTGTATACTTCATTTGTTGAATTTATTTCCTAAGGCAAATTCAATATTTCATTCAAAACAAATCGAGCATTTTGATTGGAAACAGAAATCTTTGTTCAATAAATTAAATTTAATCATATTTTTTCTTCATTCTATTCTACAAAATAAAGTGTTTCTTTAAAGATAGAATTATATTTTATTAAATTCAACATAGTTTTTCAAAACAGATAATTCAAACTTTGAGAATTACAATTTATTAATTTAAACAGTAGTTCCAATGAACCAATAAAGCCATTATTCTAGTTTGTAACTAGGATACAAATATGAAAGTGTTAGAGGAATAATAGTAATGTTAGAAACATCAGTTAACATAAATATTGGAAAATTAAAATAAAATCGCAATATTAATACTCTTTGGTTTGTTTCCTCTGAATAAAGAGCTTTTTAGAATTAATATACGATAATTGAGGATTGAAATATTAAATTATAATTCTATTCGAATGATGAAGGGTAATTGTGACAAGATAATTTATTGGAATGTCAATTTAATTATTTTTGGACTTACTTACAATTATATTTTGGGTTCTTTTCCAGAATAATACAATATAGGTTAGATATGAGTCAATATAATCATTTATTAGAAAATTAGACTCTTTAGCTATTTCATGAAATAGTGTAGAATTAAGGATCTTTTCAATATAAATTGCAATTCAAGTAAATGATCGGATGAAATGAATGGATTAGACTTCATTTATAATTAAATTTATGTATTCCAGGCTTATTCTTATTGGAGCTAAAAAAAACTCAAATTACTTAATTGAAAATAGAATTAAAATGTTATCCTAGATTCTCCTAAAAATGGTCTTATGATAAGATTTAAACACTTTAATATACGAAGCATAAGATTTATAAAGTGTAGTGTGCTTATAATTAGAATAGTTTATCGCATTCTAAATGAAAATATTAATAATTGTTTTGTTTTAGATTTATAAATGTACCATAAGGAAACCAATAAGGATCTTTAAATGTAATCTGCATGGTAAAACTCCAAACTATAATTATCATGAATCACATAACTTTCACGACAATTATATCTGGTAAACACAAAAATGATGTATACTGATTAATTAAAGAAAAAATTAATTTCCTTTATTATTGTATAAAGCATTTTTAAATGATATAAATTAAAATATATGATCATTTATTTAAAGGAATGCATTGTATTTCTGATTCTTAGTTTCCATGCCACTGCAAACTGGAGGTTAATGGATTATAGTTTTACAGATACTGTTATTGTAGATAATAACTGGAAGATGTTTAAAGATTACTCAATTGGTTGGCAAATTTCATTCAATACAAACATTTGCACTTAAAATCCATAAACATATGTCTCGTTAAAGAGAAATTAGTAATTCATAAAAAAGTCATTCAATTATAAGGGTTTTGCAGTTTAAGTAGTTTTTGATGTCTTTTTTATTCAAGAGGATAATTCAAATTCTTATTTTGAGTTAAATACTCAACTTCATCTTCTACCATAACAATTTTTAGTAGAGATTATAAGAAATTTGATTTGGAACAAAATAGTTAAATCATTTGTGATCCTACTTTTGACGAATTTGAATTTTTTACAATAGCAAGTACAATTTCTAATACCAACACTGAAAACTAATTTCTAATAAGTGTTAACTTCAATCCTGATTCAGTGTCCGTGGAAATAGGAATTAGAAACATGTTAATTTATGTAAATCCTTGTCATCCAACTTGCTTAAGTTGTTATGGTCCTTTAGAAACAAATTGTTTAACGTGTTTCGATGGTTAAGGGTTATCAGGCGGGAAATGCTAATGTGTTTCTGAATAATAATTTGCTGAAACTTTTATAGGTTGTCGTTAGGAATGTGATAGAGATTATTCGATTGCTCGGTATGATAAAATTTGTGTGTAAGACTACAGAATTAAATCATATTTAACATTATTTGAAAATGGTGTCATCCTTGTATCAAATAATAATAGGTATTCTCCTTTTATTTTTAAAACAGACATATTTCATCCTAAGAACACTGATTTAATTTATAAAAGGTTGCCTTGCAATAGATTTTATTGGTAAATTGTAATTTAATGAAGGGATGTTTTACTAAATGAATTTAGAAAATTCAGTAAAATTTCTACGAATTCGCCTTACATTTTCTTTATCTAATTTTCAAGATTCAAGTAAAATTGAAATCTTAATTGATAATCAACTTTAATCACGCATCATAAAAACTGCAACCAATTTTTAATATGTCAATTTGAATACAATATTTCAAGATAGTAGCATTTGTGGGAGTAGTGCTACTTTGTTAAGAATAGAGATGATTTTTAAAGTCTTTAATTCTCATCCAACAATTAAGATTTAAGGATAACTTTAACAAGCAAGTGAGTTTTGGGGATTTAAAAATGTCACAATTGACACAGGACTTTGTTAACAGAATTGCAAGATTTGTTAAACCTTTTCTAAATGCGCATAATGTGAAACAGGCTATTAATTATATAGAAACTAATGTATTGATAAATGTCCTATTCATTCAGATAATTGTGTTGATTATGAGGATAGGATTCCATGTAAATTAATGTTATATAATTTTTAGATTCTAGATATTTAGCCAAAGGATTTTATAATTTAAACATGACTCTCGAAGAGATCGAATCTTTTTATGATACATTTCCTGATCCAACCCATAATATTGCAACCACATAAAAATTTTCATTTTTGAACAATAAAATAGTATTAGGAGGTTTGTTGGTATGGAATAATGGATAATATACAAAGGAATGGTCTATTTCACAACCTCATCATGGAGTGTAAATTTATTTTAATTTAACTTATGGAGACAATTATTCTGGATTCTTTTATTATAAGGTAGGGACTACTAGCAGTACGTAAAAAGGACCGTTTATTAATCTTGGTGGAGGATCAAATCTAATCGGTCAAGTTACTTCTGAAAGCACCCGTTACTTTAATATTAATTTGAACGATTTTTCTTATGACAGATTATACATTCAACTTTTATGTCAAACCATTGCTCCAAATATTAATATGGGTTTTTGTGCCATATCAGATTATTTTATTGTTGTCAATTATGTAATATTTAATCATATTGTTTTATACTAGTGCCCTCCTTTTTGTTAAACTTGCACAAGTTCAAGTGGATGTACCTAATGGCAGGCAGGTTATAGTGGTTCTAATTGTTAAAGTAATTAATATATCAATTTTGATCAATAAACAGAAACCTATAGTTGCAAAGATTGCGATGAAGTTTGTAGAACATGTTTAAGTTCAGAAGACTGTTAATAATGCATTAGCGATGAATTTCAGTTAATTAATGGAATTTGTTTGTGTAAACCCATTCAGATTTAGATATGGACGACATGTTTATGATGTAGTAGGTATTGTGAAAACTGTGTTGGTATTACATAATACGATTGTGTTTCATGTATTGAGGAATTTCACAG